TCACTTGTTAACTACACCTGCCTGTCTTAATGGTCAGTAAAACCTTAATTCAGCCAGAAGTCTTCCCACGCTTATTGCATGGTTTTATAAACCGCCTGTTCTGTTGGCCAGAGAAAAAATCAGCAGACCCATTGGTACCTGTTATTAAAAGGTTACACTATATATTCATCAGCTAAAATGTAGGGTGTGGGAGGAAACCGTCACTCTTGAATTATGTAAGAAACTTCGTGCTGTCCTTCATTTTAGGAAGTGATTAGATTTTTGGGAGAAAATATCAACCACAGATATACTCGGTAGAGGTCTGCTCTAATTTGAATTATTCCTCCCAGAATGGCCAATCTTGTGTAAAGATTCTCTATTAACAGAAGCATGTAAGAGCAATTTAGGAAGTAGTATTAAGATTTAGGAAATGGTGATAGGATTTGAGTCTCCATGCAGCACTAAGAGGTCAGGTCAGTGGCATAGCTGTAATGTTCTGCACTCTTATGATTAACAGAATTACATTTAGGAGGATGTTTTGTTTTGTAGTGTCTGTTAGTAACAGAGCTGAGAAATACTTTGAATTAACCAAAAGGGTATTAATGAAACAAATGGAGACAGAAGATATGCCAACAATTATTTTTGTTCCCCACCTCCAGTAGCTTCCCAGGGACACACACATACAATCTGAAAAATCTATCCGTTAGCAGCTTGTTCAGAAAAAGTCACATGCTTGCTTACTGTCAACCTCCAATTGATATAAACGTATCACTAGAGCTGAATTAAAGCACATAGTTAAAAAACCAGAAGTATATCACATTGCTACTGTTTTAGTTTTGTCAGATGCATGTATCAGTTGTGAACAACCACAGAGGGAGAGGAATTATTTAAGCTCAGTGCCAACTTGGACACAAGAACAAATAGATATAAACTGGTCATCAGGAAGTTTAGACTTGAAATTAGACGAAGGTTTCTAACCGTCAGAAGAGTGAAGTTCTGGAACAGCCTTCCAAGGGGAGCAATGGGGGCAAAAGACATATCTGGCTTCAAGACTAAGCTTGATAAGTTTATGGAGGGGATAATATGATGGGATAGCCTAATTTTGGCAATTAATTGATCTTCGACTATTAGTGGTAGATATGCCCAATGGCCTGTGATGGGATGTTAGATGGGGTGGGATCTGAGTTACTACAGAGAATTCTTTCCTGGTTGTCTGGCTAGTGAGTCTTGTCCACCTGCTTGGGGTTTAGCTGATCACCATATTTGGGGTTGGGAAGGAATTTTCCTCCAGGGCAGATTGGCAGAGGCCTTAGGATTTTTTTGTCTTCCTCTGCAGCGTGGGACATGGGTCACTTGCTGGAGGATTCTCTGTACCTTGAAGTCTTTAAACCACGATTTGAGGACTTCAGTAGCTCAGACATAGGTTAGGGGTTTGTTACATGAGTGGGTGGGTGAGATTCTGTGGCCTGCTTTGTGCAGGAGGTCAGACTAGACGATCATAATGGTCCCTTCTGACCTTAAAGTCTATGATTCTGTGAACTGTAACAAACTTCCAGTTACTAGCTGTGTTACTGGCAGAAACTACAGAATAAAACAACATCTTGTTAATGGAGTTTGTCATTCTGTACCTTGAATGCAAAAAACAAACAACCCCTCCCAATATGTAAGAAAAACCAGCAATCTTGTCCACCTATGAATTAGAAATCTCAGTTCTGCTAGATTGCTGCTGCAACAGCCTAATTAGCTAAATATTTCAATTGCTGTGACTGTAGTTGATCAGACATGAATGTTTTTGAGATTGGAAAAATGTTAAGATCTGGACAACTAGGTGCAAAAGTGTGTGTGGCTGTGTAACTTAAGGGGCAAAGTCAATTGGAAAAGCATACTTCTCTGAATAATTTTTACTTACATGTTTAACAATAACATCTAAATACTATAATTGAAAGGAACTAAAGAAAAAAATAGTTTAATGTGAGTTTTTTTTTCATTCATTTGCTTTGAGCATTTGTCAGTTCTTTGTGGTTGGTTTCACTATTTATCTTGGATAGCCAGTCAGAGTGAAATTCTCCACTGTGGTAAGGTCCAGCAGAAGACCAGTGCACCACTTAAGTTTCACTCAAGGTCTCAAAATAGGTTTTAAGGGAGACTTAAGTGGTACATTAACCTTGCGTTGACTTTCTGCACATAAATGAATCACCCTTACTTACTTTCTTCTGTTTTGTGTGGATCTTTCACGCAGCACAAGGAAGAGAAAAACATTTAACAGTATCAAAATGTGATTATAAGACAAAACAAAACAACAATGGCAAGGAGGACTCAAGGTCAAATGAAGTACCTGCAACGACTTCAAGTATGTCTCTGTGGGTGCTTCACTGTATGAGCGTATGCACCTGTGCCCTCTTGACTGGAAATAATAAGTAGCAGCGTTTTCAGGTCCATGTCTGTGCAAAGCAGTGCCCGTGCTCCCAAGTGAGGGCATATAAAGAGACAGGGACCCCAAAATTATTAGCTTTTACATTGAATGTGTCCCTTTATATCTCTATTTTCTGATGGGATTATCCTAAAGGTTAGGATTTCTATCCAGTTGCTACACACACTGACTTAACTTGTGCCACTGTGAACATTCCATGTACCATCCATTGTGTACCACTCTGTAACAGAGCATTTTTTTAACCTGACTCACAAATGTGTTACTACCTGAAGATAGTGGGATGCCAAATGTTGTAAAAATTATAGCTTAGAGGATGCTTCTGTCCAGCAACTATGTATTACCTCTTTTGAGTGACAGTCTTGTGAAGTCAGTTTACATTGAAAATAATTTTTTGTGCTCCCAGTAGAGGGAGGATTGAAGACCTGTTCTTATTCAGTGTTCATTGCCATATTACTTGCGTACTACTGCAGGTTTCTGTTGAGTGATGTGAGGCAATACTGCTCTCATGGTCCGCAGCTGAAGCCTACAAATTGCTCCCAGCACTTTCTAGCCGAGACAGCAAAGAACTGAGTATTAACCTTAAGGCTATTGTGCCAACCCTGCTTTGTTTGTTAATGTTTAAGGCTCAGAGCTGTGTAATCTTTGCAGTGTTATCTCTGATTATGTGGACACTCTGATCTTCCCATTACATCCTCTATGTCAACTTCTGTGCTTCATTTTCCAGTCTTCCCTCCTCCTTTGTTAACCACCATCATGCTAATGTGTTGTCTCTTCCTTTCACCATTGTCATATAGTTTGACGTGAGTAACATTTGTCTACCTTGTCATGCCAATAAATGTTGTTTGATTAAATTAAATTGATCAGCACAGGCTCATCATAAGCAGGTTTTGGTCACAGTTTTGTGACAGCATTTCTAGTGAGATACATTCCCCCTCCCCCCAACTTCAGATAGAATAATCTTCCTAAAGGCATCCAGTCTTAAGAATGCTGGGACCAGGGGAAATAGTTGGTCCTGAGTATAGTGACTGAAGAATTCTACATACAGTAACTCCTTGCTTAACGTTGTAGTTATGTTCCTGAAAAATGTGACTTTAAGCGAAACGATGTTAAGCGAATCCAATTTCCCCATAAGAATTAATATAAATAGGAGGGGTTAGGTTCCAGGGAAATTTTTTTCACCAGACAAAAAACTATATATACACACAGTATAAGTTTTTTAAACAAACGATTTAATACTGTACACAGCAATGATGATTGTGAAGCTTGGTTGAGGTGAAGTTAGAGAGTGGAATATTTCCCAGGGAATGCCTTACTACTAAATTATGAACTAGCAATCAGCTGAGCCCTCAAGGGTTAGCACATTGTTGTTAATGTAGCCTCACACTCTACAAGGCCGCATGAATGGAGGGAGGGGAGACAGCATGGCAGACAGACACACACACCCTGTGTGTGGGGGAGAGAGATACTCATTGTCCCTTTAAGTACACTGACCTGACTCTAAGTACATTGCCTTTAAAATGTTGAGACAGCAGCTGTGGTCTCTCTCTCAGTCCTGAGCCCTGACCTGTCCCCACCCTGCTCTATATGGAGAAGGGGGAAGGGGGACACCCTGATATTAGGTCCCTCCTCCCCCCACCCCCGCACAGCAAGCAGGAGGCTCCCAGGAGCAGCTCCAAGGCAGAGGGCAGGAGCAGCACACGGCAGTGGGGGGAGGCACAGCTGAACTGCCGGCATTTGATAGCCTGATGGGCAGCTGCTCCACGGGGGAACTTAGGGGAGCGGGGAGCTGACGGGGGCCGCTGATCCACCCTGGTTCCAAGCCCCACACCAGCTAGCTGCAACGGGCTGCTCTTCCTGCAAGCAGTGGACAAAGCAGGCAGCTGCCAAACAGCGTTATAAGGGAGCATTGCACAACTTTAAACGAGCATGTTCCCTAATTGATCAGCAACGTAACAATGAAACAACATTAACTTAACAGGAACGACTTTAAGTGAGGAGTTACTGTATAAAAAACCCCATGACCATGCTCGGTAATTTCCTCATGCCAGGAGACAGACAGACATCATATAGTCTTATGGTTCCTGGGTGTGGAATGGCTTTCTGTTTCACCTTGAAAAGAAGTCCATCCTAAGAGAAATCATGGGGACAAAGTATGTTCTGCTGGGATATCAGTACATTAGCTTTGAAGATTTCATCTCAGGCTATCCACAGATCTCCCAGATAGTTTTTAATCCTAAGGAAGTGATTTGTGTTTGGATCAGTATTGCTCAAATAAAGAACTGTTGTGCCATAGATTTTCTAATATGATGCTTATAAAAGTGTCATTTTTGCAAAGTCAATAAATGTAGCTGTCGGGATAAAAAAAATTCATGGAAGTGATCACAGAAGTGCTAGACTGAGCCAGCAGTTTTCCCCTGCTTGTTCATTATGAAATAGTCTTTTTGAGATGTGTGATAAAAGGCTGAATCTTGCTGTACTTAGTCAAGTAGTATCATTGAAGTCAACTGGCCTACTTGTGTGAACAGTGTGAGCAAAGTCCTTTTCTGACTGATGAAAGCACTCTTTTCAGTTGATCATTTTTATCCCATAGGCTTGTCCACCTGGTCCCAGCATTCCAGATCACGACACCGGAGGAATTCATGCTCCAGACATGAAGACCGAAAACCTTCTGAGGTATTTCTGGAATTGTACTTGCACTTTGCTACCTCTGTCTAGTAAAACACACACGTGCCTTGTTAAAGAATAGATTTCTTCCTAATCATATTTTCTTTCCTTTTCTGCTCCATCTCAGCTGGCACCCAGCAACCTTTCCTCTGGCCGGGAGTTCAGCTGCTACCACAGTCACTGCCAGCACCAAGTTAGTTTTTAGCCATGAATACTGGGCTAGTTTGGCACCAGCCCAGCATAGCTCTGAAATCTTTTTCTTTCTTTCTTTCTTTCTTTCTTTCTTTCTTTCTTTCTTTCTTTCTTTCTTTCTTTCTTTCTTTCTTTCTTTCTTTCTTTCTTTCTTTCTTTCTTTCTTTCTTTCTTTCTTTCTTTCAGTGGTTTGGGTTATTTGTTCTTGATTTATGGTGAACAGTAAAAGTTTATTTTTAGTAGTTTCATAGCCTTTATTTGGCCTTAATTAATAGTTTTTATTTGTTAACAGACTTGTCAAACCAGACATCTGTCTCTTTTAAGCTTCATATGCAGTGCTTTGAGGAATTCAAATCAAGGAAGGAAATGTAAATCAATTTGGACTTTTTGGGTGGGTCAGTTGTAGGCACCAAATGTATATGACCCACTGCAGATGCCCTTGCCTGAACTGGTCTGAGACAGTCATTAGACCTCCGACTGCACTGTGGCTGAAAACCAGGTATTAGCTTCAGAAGGTGAAATTTCTTGGGTTCAGTCATTTTCACTGTGTCAGAGTATTTTAAATGCTGCAGGGCTGATGTTGGGGGAGAGGCATATTTAGCTAGATTTCATGATGACAGTATACTTCCTTCGCCCCGGGGATAATCAATTTTTCATGGGGGTATTATGTACGCAAGAGAGCCACTTGACCATCAAGTAAATGACCAGAGATAACTTTTCAAACCCTGATCTTGTCTTTCTTGGCCCAGTCTTATTTTGTGGTGATTCTTTCTCCCCGCCGCCACACACACATTAACCTGTGGCTCTTCCAATATTCTGTTTTTTCCTCCCTTTGCCTTTCTTCTAAGTCTGAGAGGTTTTTCTCCTACTTCCCCCAAGCTCCTGTTTGTTCTTATTTCTTGTATTGTCTCTGTCTGCGACAGCATGCTATGCTGATGCCAGTGTGCCAGCAGATAAGTGGCACTCACTAAACTCACAGGGTGAAATCCTTGCCTCATTTGAAGTCAATGGCAGAACTCCCATTGACTTCAGCAAGGCCAGGATTTCACCCTCTCTCTATCTCTGAAGTGCTGCATGCCAGTTCTTCAGAGATAATAATTTTGTAAACTTCTTTTGGCTCCAGGCACCTTGATTGCATCAGAAATTAGCAGAACAGCAAGGACAGTGACACAAGGCAGAGAGTCTTGGAAAGGATTTTCTTGATGGTCAAGTATTCCATTAACAACTTCTTGTGAGGTAGCCAAAATAACTAACCACAAGCTATCAGACTGAAAAATTTTCATATATTGTTTTTTACTCAAATCACTAGAAGTCTAAAACCCTATGGCTGGCTCTGCTAGTTTACTGGGAGAGCAAGTTTGTTTTGTGGATTCTGTTTCATTTCTTGATTGCAACCTCACAGGACTGATAGTTTAGATTTTTTTAAAAACCATTTTATTGTATTACATTACCTATATTCACCCTTTTCTTCTTTTCTTGATAAACTTACAAATTAATACTTAATTGTAGTGGGATTTATTCTTACAAAAATGTAGACTTGCACCTGAAATTCAAAAAATGTCATCACTGGGTGTAAACAGTTTTGAAGAATAAAAATAAGTTACACTTGGATGTTCCCCAATGAGAAATCCAGGGCAAAACAGAGAGAATGAGAGAGTGGGGGAAAAAACATTTGGGCATATCATGTGGCCAAGCTTTTTATACTGTACTTTACTATAGAGATTTTTTTTACTAATGATCAGACTAATGATTGGTTCCCTAAAACATGTAAAAAAATTATAGATGATTTATTGTAATTTGAAGTGTTTTAATGGCGTATGAAAGAAGGCACTATCCCCAGGGATTTATTTATGATTTGTGTCAACCACAATGGATGCACATACCTTACAGATTTGTGCTTTATCCACAGCCAGACACAACTGTTGTCAGATACTAACTCAAAACAGCCAATATAGAAGTTGGATTAGGGATTCAGCACAAGAGTAGCTGTAAATTTGAAGTAAAGTAAAGTAAATTTGCATCATTAGCAATGTTTGGAGAGTCTAGGAACAGTGTCTTGCCTTCGTGAAAATCTGCCTGAAACTTCATAACTATACAGAATGGAGCTGGATATGTGCCTTGCTGATTATACCTGCCATAAACTGATGAGTTTGCATATGAACTTTTCTTGTGGTTTTCCTGGCTGGTGCTGGATGGGCTGATTCCCTTGTTCTGTTTGGCAAAGGGCTTGGTTTACAATCTTACATTTTAGTTTTCATTGCTTGTTTGCTTTAAAACCCTGTTGCACATCCGTTCCTTTGTATGTGGCATTAATTAGTTAATGTATGTAAAGAGCTACTGAGATGAAAAGGGTGAAGTATTAGTTATTACTGTTATGTAGCAGTTTTGGTTGGGGGGAAAAGGGGCAGGGAATGCTGGAAGATGTGTAAGCAGGTGCTGTCTTGCTATTCTCATGCCTGTGATATCACCCTTCAGTTTCTGCTTCACTGAGAGGCAGTAGCAAACCAGGCAGAATGGAGCTGCCATAGCAGCAGCACGGCATACTCCTCACAAGGGTGAATCCATTTTTATTTCCTCCTATGGTTTGTTAAAGACCGCATCCCTGCTTGTTTATGGCAGATAACCCAAAACTTGCCAGACATTCTGCAGGTTTTAGAGGCTGATGCCTTGAAAAGGCAAAGTGGAATTGTGTGTGTGAAAGTGCAGATGGTAGATGAGCGAACGCTAGTGCTGAATGTGGAGATGCCCCAAGAGATCTAGTCTGAAGCTCATTTTAGTTGATCTTTAAGGTAATATAAAAAAACACAACAATTCAAGACTAGCTGCCGTGCTTAGAATTTGCTATTGCAGCTGGTCACGTTACGGTCATACCTTGTTTACGATCACAGAGGATTTTTAGAATTCTTTTAGATTAGTCAGGGATCTCGTAAACTGAAAAACACAGGGCTTAGTCCTGGTCCTATTTAAGTCAGTGGGAGTATTGGTACAGTGCTCACATGGAACCGGATTGGGTCCATTGTTATTAGTGGGTAATGCTACAGTTTTGGTGCCTGATCGTGAGAAGCTTTGAGCACCCGCAATTCTCATAAACTTTAGAGGGACTTACAGGCATGGGGCACCACTCAGGCTTATGCTTCTTTCACAGTGTGAACATTAGAAATCATAGAGCCGTCAGCCTTATGTCTTTTGTATCAATGTCCACTTCTCTCTACCCCCTGATGTGAAGTTAAATGGCTGTCCTGTAATAGGCTGTTAGTTTGTGTTGGTACAGTGACCTTCTTATGCACTGCTCCATGGTTACCCTGGAGCTGTGAATCATAGAGTGTAAATATCAAATGTCAGTGTCTCTGTTCTTTCTCTTGGTTGGTTTCTTCACAGGTGTTCAGAACGGACTTGATCACTGCCATGAAGCTACCCGACTCCTACCAACTGAACCCTGATGAGTACTATGTGCTGGCAGACCCCTGGAGGCAGGAGTGGGAAAAGGGAGTTCAGGTGCCAGTTAGCCCGGGGGCCATCCCCGAACCAGTAGCCAGGTATAGTTTGGAGAAATATAAACAAACATATATATGCTTGGGCCACCAGTTATACATCTGGCTGCCTAGGCTGTAAATTAATATGTAACTATCTAGTTAGAAATGGCCTGATTTTCAGAGGTTGTGAACAAATCCTTTGCCTCCTATTGAAATCAGTGGGCATTGCAGGTGTTCAGCATTATTGAAAATCTTGCCACTTCTTTTTAGGTAGCTGAATATGAATATAGAAGCCAAATTTAAATTACAGACCTTGGAGAAAACTGCTGGTTTTAATTTGGTTTTATGAAATTTTCTAACCTTTTTCTGTTTATTTATAACTTAAATTTAGCTTGCTGTACAACACCGCAACTAGATTAAAAAAACTCTCAAATGATTCAGATCCATCAGGTTGGGCACATAGTTAAGGTACATAAATGTGAATGCTCACATTTGTTACTGTAATTACCATAATCTTCCTTCTCTTTGTTACACTTCCATCTTGTGTCTTGTTTCAAATGAGACTGTATGCTCCTTGGGGCAGGGATCTGTTGCAAACATTTATATTTATTATGTAAGGTAACTTCATTGTACTTAGAACGATTCATTAAGGCATGTAAATATGGTTGTTGTTTGTACTGTGGCAATGCCTACAGGCCCTAGTCATGGAACGGGAGCCATTGTGCTAGGCATAGTACGCACTCGCAACAAAAAGATGATCCTTACCAAGAAGAGTTTTCACTGTTCAATAGCTTAATTGGATGAATTCTGTGAGAAGATAAAATAGGGGTGTGGGAAAAAGCAAGAACTGTCACATATCATTGTTTTTTTTTTAAGAAGAATACATTCTGAACCCAAACTCAATATTGCAGAATTTTTGGTCATGGACTATGTATGTATATACGTTTATTTGGTAGTCAAAGTTGATACACGTGCCTGTTCATCATTAGCCTATTGCAATAACCCACATTGGAGTGTCCATTAGCAGTCTGTTTGTCATGCCTGGGGTGTGTTGAGAGGCATGAGGCTGTAGGCCAAGTGTCTGTAACCACATAAAAAGTGCACCCATAGCTTATTAATGAAGGGCTTATTACAGGTAGAGCCTGGCTGCTTAATGTAAAAAAAAATTTTTTTTAAACAGTTTTGGGAGGGTTTATGTAATGTGTCCTTCCACTGTGAAAAGTAGTTGATAGTAAAAGAATAGGAGAACTTACCCTGTTAGGTATGTATACGAATAACAAGAATATCCACAGTTACTTTAGATTGGATAAAATTTTTATAAGGGTCATAAACCCTTATGTTTCAGGACATGAACTAACCACTTACTGCCTGAGTCAGGAAGAAACTTTCCCCCTGGGTAAGTTAGTGCATAATTGTCTATACTGGGTTTTTAAACTAACATCTGTTGGAGACAGGATACTGTGCTATTGATCTGAGTTGGTTTGGCAGTCTCCGTGTTGTTAGAAAATAGTAGGGAAAATGTTTCTTCTGCTGTTTTGAGTATATTTGTTAAATTATTATTTTTGATAGCTATTTTATGTTAAGGTGCCGCTCTCCTGACTCTTTGGGTTGTTTCTCACTCTTCCTACTTCCCAGGAGTCCAGCTTCCCTTTCAGTAGCAAGCTGTAGCCCAGCTCACTTACTGTTATAAAAACTAAATAGAGAATAGCAGCTGGCTCCCTCTTTAGTTTTTATAATAGGAAGTGAGACTTGGCAGTGGCCCGGAGCTCAGGAGTTGCTGCTTAAAGCACAGCTGTGCTTCTAGGAGAAAGGGGATACAGGGCAGTTAAAAATCCTACTGTTTCCCTGTGCTAGCCCCTGCCTATCTTTCCCTTTCTGTGGGAATGGTGGTGTTTTGCTGCAGAATTTGATTTCCCTGCTGTGTGTTGCTATGCCCTAATTTTATATTTTTCAGATAAAAATACTGTACAGACGCTCCCCGACTTACGCAATTGTTCTGTTCCAGAACGCCTTGCATAACTCAAATTTTGCGTAAGTCGGAAATGTATACCTGACCGTTATGCAAAAACGACAACAAAAAACCCCTCCTATTTCTAGCTTACGGAACTTTTTCTATAAGTGCGGATTTGCGCAAGTCAGGTCCTGCGTAACCCGGGGAGCGTCTGTATAACCTCACAAGAGGTGGAAAATACTAACACCAGGTAAAGATCCCTCTGCCCTGCCTACCTTTTCTCACCTCTTCCTCTTCCAGGAAGGAGTGGAGTCATTTGATTCTCTCCACCCCTACCCCTCATGAGGATTGTGGAAGCATCTTTGTTTCTCTTCCTGCTACCCTTCACGTGTGTAGAGGACAGACTAGGGTTGGTTGGGATTGGAGGAAGGGAGCCAAATGGTCATTGCTCATTAATCCCATAGTTGATACCAAAATGCTGTAATGATCTTGTGCATAATTTTAGTAGGAGGGAAGCATGACTGTAAAGTGAACTAATGACATTCACTAGCAGTTGATGTAGACTAGGAGGAAATACAATACATTTCACAGAGAAATGATTCTTGTTATTACAGTGCCCAGCAGTGAGCGAGGTGCTTTGTAGGAGGAAACAAAGAGACAGAGTCGCTGCCCTGATGCAACCAATTAGGGTAACAAACAGTAGGGACGGGATGGGGCGAGGAAGGATGAAGGTTACAGCAATATGTCCATGTGGTGACTCAGTGCTAACACGTGCTCAAACTGATGACTCAATTACATGTTTTTGGGTATACAGTAATTATTATTTTACTACTTTACATCATGAAGGTAAAAAAAATTGATTTTTGCAGGTCCTATGAAAATTGACACTATTTTGGGCAGCATGAGCAGGATGCTGCCTAGAGAGCTATAATTTCCCTATAGTAGGGGATTTAGTGTGTAGAATATTTGGAAAGCAGTGATCAGGCTAAAGCAGTTTCCTTGTGAGATGTAGTATATAATATTGCAGTACAGTATTATTCAGTATAGTACAGCCAGGGCTGGCTCAAGGTATTGGGGCCATTCATATAATGACTGATACCTCCCCTGCTGAAAAGCCCAAGATTCAGTGTATGACTTTTCCCCCCATTCTGCTTCAGATTCCTATGATGTACCAGAACTGGTTTGGTACCATGATGGAGGCTGGACTAGATAAATGTGTCCAGAACTGGATGTGTTCAGATATAGGGATAGTGGATCAAGGGTTCTTGTTGAACAGGAGAGAACATGCACTATGTGCCAGCTAGGCCACAATAGAGTGAAGGACCTGCTACTTCCCCCATGGAGCTCTCTCATGAAGTCGCTCATTCTCCACACCATGAGGCACTGGAGCATAGCTGCAGTAACCCTCACACTAGCACTAGTGAGGCTGCCGTGATCTGAGGACTCAGCTGGAGGCTGGGCTCATTGCCTGAACTTGATCCAGATATAGGTTTTATTTTCTGTAGCATCTTTCATACAAACTGAATCTCAGAATGCTTAGAGTTAAATAAAGGAGAGACTGTGGAACCTCCTTTGCAAACATCCAGAGAACATTGATGTGGATGGGGCATATGGAACCTGCTACCTGAAGGCAAGGTGTTAGCAGTGCAGCCACTCCTATGGGCTGGAATACACCTGTGCCCCTGTACAGTGTAGATGCATTCTTTCTTAGTTACTGGATCTGTATAGTCAAAGAAATCCAGGCAACTAAAATGTAGAGCAAGTTACACTTTTAAGTGTTTTGCTCTGTCTCCAAAGTCCTTACAAGTAACTGTTAACAACTGTGCTTATGCAGTTTAAATGTGGTTGCAACCAAAATATGCTTTAATTAAATCTGGCTTGCCACTATGGGGACCACACCAATCCATATTAGGCTATAGTACAGCTGCATCTGAATTTAAAAACAGTGGATGGATTTTGTTTTAAAGTCTGGCTCAGTCGAGGTTTTAGTGATTTTGCAGGGGGAATGCAAATCCCTGCGAGCCTGGATTTAGATCTGAGCAGGTAAGTGATGGAGAGACTGATTATAAACAATTTTATGAATTGTCATTATTATTTCCTTGTGGAAAGGAGTTTAGGATGTCACAGAAATGAAAATTACAGCTATCTATACAAAATTACTGTAAAAACAATAGAATTTAATAGAGAATATTAGCTGGTGTATGGAATTTTTAAACGATCCTCTAGAATTTAATTGAGAATTGTATCCCTATTGTAGTGTTCAGTAAGTTGATTTATATCTATTATTATTAATTTAATTCTCATGCACATAGTGCTTATCATCACATTAACAGAGTATGGCGTATATGTCTTTAAAGTGTGTCAGTAACAATTCAATTTAAAAGTAGCAAGTACCATGTCCTCTTGCAGGAGATGATTTGTAATCTCTCTTCTCTTAAATTCACCTGTAAGTCTTTTAATGAACTAGAATTTTAAAAAGGTGAATTATTTTATGTAGCATTGCAGGTCACTTTTAAAAGATATCTGAATGACTCCTTCTCTGTTTTATGTACCCATCCTTACTTCCTGCAGCTGTGCGGGACTTTGATGCTACAAGATTGCTGGGAATTTTTAGTTGCATAGAATAAGGAAGTGCAATTTAACCCCCAGGCACTAATCACACAGCAGGATTAAGCATTTCCCAGTCTGTGTTAGGAGATTTACAACCTGTATAAGTAACATCTGTATTTACTGTTTCTTCAGGTTTGTGTCTGAGACAAAAGCAGTCACATTTACAAGACCCAGGAAGTACATCCTTTCTTCAGGTTCTGAGCCTCCTGAGCTGGGGTACGTTGACATTCGAACCTTGGCGGACAGTGTGTGTCGCTATGACCTCAATGATGTGGATGCAGCATGGTTAGAACTGGCCAATGAAGAATTTAAAGAGATGGGTGAGAGAAGCCTCTGGTCTTTTTAACCCTGTAAAATTATGCATGCTGCTGAAGTAGGCTGGCAGTTCTGTGCAGGGTTTGTGGGTGAGAAAACTGGAAAGGAAGAGAGAGGGTGTAAATCATGTACATTAGGATGTAGTTTACTTGTGATCTTATTTTTAAAAACCACTAGCCTCTAAACTCTTATTCCCAAAAGCCCTCAATGAAGGGTGGCATTGCTACGATGGGCTAGATCTGTGGAGAATATCAGACCTATGCATAGCTCCATTAATGTCAGTAGAGTTGCACTTGTTTACATCAGATCACCCACAAGAATTCCCTCAAAGAACCTTTTTTGCTATTGTTTACTTCCTTGGAGATGATATCAAATAGACAATTTAAGTCATCTGTCTGTCCATCCATCCTTTTTTTGCTTGCTTGCTTTTCCATGCATCCCTTTCCTAAAATGGAATGAGAAAACTCTCAGCCCCTCTATAGCTAGTTATTTTTTTCTGTTTGTACAGAAGCAGTGTAGTAGACAGAAGTGTTTGGGAGGTTTAAAAACAGAAGCCAGACTGTTTGGGGAGTGAGACAGCAAAGAATTGGCTCAGTGATTCCTTTTGAAAATGTCCCAAACTCTATTACTGTGTCCCTGGTTTTCAAACAGGAAAGGGATTTGTCCTGGTGGGGCTGAGGGTTCCCTCCAGGAAGAGGTTGCGTGTGCAGGAAGGGAAGAGAACAAGACCACTATTTTGGTACGATGTGTGCTCCAAAAGTGGGAGCACGCCATGGATTTTACTAGGGTTACACAGGATGTAAGTCAATGCAGAATTTTCACCATAATGTCTAGATATGTGAGAATATATTGTGCCAGCTAGAAGGGTTTTGGATATTTTCATGAGCACAGATAATACTATTGAGTTTTACTCTGTGGCAATTCCCTCATTTGGGTTATGGTTATAGTTTTATGGGTTTACCTGGACACTGTCCATAGACTAAACAGTTACAGGACCTGGCAAGCCAGGGTCAGCTGGTTATAAACTTGAAAAAAAATTATCCTGAAGAAAACCCACACAGAACAAACAAAACCACCAACTCTGACCTGGGCTCATGTTCAGGCTTTTTACCCAAATCTCAGGTCAGGCCTATTTAAATACCCAAGGTGGATTTACATGATGTCAGCCTGAGGTTACACTTCTGGCTGCTTTTAAATATTCAGCTTTATTTAAACAAGCCCTAAAAGTGAGCAGACAGTCTGAGATACTCATGCATTCTCTTCATCTCTTTCTTTCCCCTTCTCTCCAGGAGGAGAAGGGGGCGGTTGATCCTGAGGGGAACCAGAGGGAAGGCTAGCACAGCATCAATTACAGCACAGATGTACATGAAAGTGATCTAGGGTATCTCTGTAGGAAAGGAAAAAGGAGGCATGGGGTTTACCCTGCAGCCAGCGGCAGATACAGTGACCATGGAGGCATCCTCTGCAGGCTCATTCCATTGTACAAACTGATCAGAGGGCAGGGGGAGAAGAAAGTTCAGCACAGAGCAAAGTGAAAGTTCCTACTTGTGAGAGACCATGTCAGGTGACAGGAGAAAATAATTCCCTGTGTTCAGAGAACTGTGTTTGGTGCCCCATTATTCCCAGCTTCTCCTGATTTTCTTAAAATTCGGGGACAGATTCAGCTTTTGGTTATACCATTGTAACTTTAGTGGAGTTGATTTACGCTGGTGAAATTCAGGTTGGTCTCCTGTGAGCTACAGCAGTATAGTCTAGGGATAGCCAGGATTTGACAGGTTTTACTATGATCCTAAACATTCTCTTATGGGAGATTTTTGTGACTGATATGCCAGTGCACAGTAGTTTGTTTGCTATAACCCTTTACACATGTAGTTATTCTGTAAAAGGTGGGAAAGAAATTCCTTCTTGGCCCCCGCAGGCAGTGCATGCGAGGCCTGAAACATGACATTTGAGTTACTCTTATAAAAATTTTGCATAGCAAAAGATACTGTGGTCACTAAAATGAGTAATTACTTGTTAATCTCCAGCTGTAGCATTTATCGGATCTCCTGTGGCTGTGAATTCCAGAGGTTGACCATGACGCACTCTGCGGTGCTCCTTTTAATATTTATAATGTGTATTATTTTTCCAAAAGACCAGATATAAAAATATAAAACTTTTTAATAAAAACTCTCATTATCATTTTAAAATTTATAGCTATTAAATTACAGTGAAGTCCAATTGTGAGGCAAATTACAGATAACTAAATCTACAAGGTGATAGAGGCCACTGCATTGGGACTTAGTGCTGTTGTAAACGCCTTTCAAACTACCAACTGTACTAACTCATCAACTTTCAATCCATCATCACCCGCTTTCCAGAATAGCACTTCTCTGCCATTAGGGACAAATTCTGCTCTCTCTTCCACTGTGGAAGTGCTAGGGGAGGGCAGAATTTTGTATGCTGCTTGTGCAGCTGCCCTTCAGCTGTGGGGCCAAAAGGGTGAGGGCTGGGTTGGAGCAAAGCAGAGTATTCACTGCTTTGCAGATTCTCCAAACCATTCCCCCATGATGAAGGCGGTACCTTTAGGTTGGCAGACCTGTTAGAAAGTTTCTTCTCCAGCTCTGTGATTTGTGGGAGCTAGGGATTCCTTCTCCATCTTCCTTTGGAATTCCTCAGAACCCATGTGAATTAATTGCCCTGAGAACTAAGAAGAGGATTTACCCTTATAATACACATGTCAAGAGTTTTCTATCTTCAGTATGTCATACGAAACAGTAATTATTGGGAACAGGATTAAAACCACAGGATCTTTGTTTTTCAAAGCCTGTACCCTTTTGCAAACTTCCATAAGGATCTCAGCTTGGAAGTGCCGGAGGTAAACTGGCCTTGGTGGAGGAGAGAGCTTGCTTTGGAGTAGAACTGCTTTTTCAGTCCTACAGCTGTCTGTATGAAAGGGGTTGTATAGGGCTTGTTGCAACACCAATTCTGAAGCTTTACTGGTTCTTGTAGGGCCATTAAAAGTTGAGAAATGGGATACTTTGTCAAGTAGTTGTATCCACATAGAAAGCTGGACTTCTTTTGGTATCTTTCTTGCTGAGTTTATTGTAGGTGTTTTCAGGTCTGTAATGAACATGTAACATAACAGTTTTATTATTACTACTACTGTGATTTAGGTGATGATCACTGTGGTGGTGTCTGGGTGTAATGTTCAGACACAAGCACTGTGATTAAAATGGACAAGCCCCACAGTTAGATATTGTATCTAGTATAATTGGGTTCCCCATATATTTGAATATTTATTTATTTCTTGGTACTACAACAGATCCTAGCCAAGATCAGGACCTGATTGTACAGGGTGCTGTGAAAATGCACTACATCAAATAAATGATTGTCTTATCTGGGTTGCGGATTCTAACACATCAAAATGTACCTGATAGATTTTGCATTGGACTGTATTATCATCATTTTGATGGACAGCTTGTTGCTCACTTGGGGAGTGCGTTGGTCCTAGAATCACTCTCAAAAGAGTCACCATTTCCTAAAATGATTGAGGTCACAAAGTTGAAACAAGCAACTGTAGATAGTGTTGTATGAGAAGGAAAGAGAGTGAGATCAACAGTGACAACCCAGAGAGGTGGGACTTGCTTGTGAAAACTTTGAGGATATCAAATATTGATTGAAATGAGTAAATGTCCATTATTTCAACACAGATCTAGGGCTTTGGACATTTTTGCCATAACTACTCTGCACTTCCCCTCTAACATTTGCCGTGGCAACCCTACAGCCATAAATTAATCCTCGACACCGAGGTGGTCTGGCGTGTTGTGCCATTTGCAGCTTATGGGTCAACCTGGGAGAAGAAGCTCAGCCTTTGATACATTGGTGGAAGGAGCTGGGGTTCCAGATGTTATCATTTTAAAAATCCATTGTGTTGGATTAATTTCCCAGGAATGCCTGAACTGGATGAGTACACGATGGAGAGAGTCATGGAGGAATTTGAACAGCGATGCTATGACAGTATGAATCATGCTATTGAGACTGAAGAAGGGCTTGGGATCGAGTATGATGAGGACGTTGTCTGCGACGTTTGCCAGTCCCCAGATGGGGAGGATGGCAATGAAATGGTGTTCTGTGACAAATGCAATATTTGTGTACACCAGGTATGGCATCCAGACGTAGAGGTGGGAGTGGCCTTTTGGGCAGCTTATGTGCTGGGGCTAGAGGCAGGCGATGGGTGGTTACAGAAATATCTCAGAACTACTACTGTTAAAGACAGATTTAAAGATAACAGGCCAGATTCCTCTCTAGTGTAACTCACTGATTTTAACTGAGTTACACCAGTAGTGAAATTGGCCCACGGGACAAACTCACAAGTGATGTAAATGTAGGTTGTACATTAGTAAATATGTACATTTACTGCGTTACATGCTGAGAGGGCAAAAGGTGGGAGTGTAGCAGGAAAAGCAACCAATTGGAGGATGTAAGAAGATATAAGATTAAAATGGGCGTGGTATTGCTTTATCTAAAGGCATCTTGTACCCTCTTGCTGGTTGCTTTTGTTGCTATAATCATGCCCTTTTTGCCACTAAGTTTGCACACTACACTAGTTTACACTGACACTACCATCTGCATTCCCAATGAATTTGGCCCAGTTGGTTTTGTTCTTCAGATATGTCTGCAATTTTTTGGTTTGATCCCTCACTTTCCACACACAAGCCATGTGATGCACTGAAGTCCTCTTTTTTGGCAATATATTTGCAGTATCAATAAATTTGATTGAAGAGGAAGAGAAAGTCTGAAAAATGATGACCTCCATCCAACTAGTAGGAAACCAGGAAGGATTTATATCGTAGTTTAAACTTAATTTATGTCATCAGGCTTGTTGTTAACAGTTGGTTTTGTTCCATGTTGGGGTGACGCTGAATGAGGCAGACCAGGAATTTGAACCTGCATCTCTCACATGCTAGAGGAGTGCCTGAACAACTAGGTTATTCTGAGGACAACATGTCTTTCTGTGGAAATTAAACAAGCCTTTCTTTGCATGGAAGAAGGAACAGATATGTTTGTAACACATCTGCTTCCTCGACTGCTCCATTGTGAAAGAGACCTTGCTATGGGTCTTCTTTCTCTCCATCCCTTAAAATGTTTGCTTTGTCATTAAGCAGTGGGGCAGCTGCGATGTTTGATAAGCAAGGAACATTTAATTTTCTTGCTCCTCAGGCTAAAGTTACATAAATGTATTTGCATGTATGGTGGTGAAATGTATCTTTGAGCGTGGCGCTGTGCAAACATTGCGTATCTTGTAAAGTGGTCTAAGAGTTTAAAATTGGCACATTGATAAATCTGTAGCCATTCTGTCTTGAACTGTGATCACATCAAATCTTAGAAGCTAGAAAGGGTCAGAACTGGCAATAGTTTGGTTGGAGGTCTCCATAGACACTCCAGTCTACTACAGGACATGATGTTAATCATTCAGTAGATGTCACTTTACCCTTATGAGTAAGAATTGAACTGTACCTTGGGGGCATCTTTAATGTCATCATCTCATTTTTCAGGTGAGATGCAAAACCAATGTCCTATCACTTGGGATCTTTAAAGATCTCATGGGACTTCATAGCTCCAGTGTCCTGGCTAACGTCCAGCTCAGATATCTAACCACTCACACAGCTATCTAAATTTCCCGTTCTGTTTAATTTGATTAATATATTCTTCTTCACTTCCTGTCCTAAACTGTTGTGGAGTGATGGTTTGCATTGTTAAACAGCTGGAGTTAGCTCCCTTTCAGTGGTGGGAAAAGTATCTGTGTGTAATGTGTATATGGAGTTGCTACATTTGTAAAAGCACCTTGCCATCCTTCAGAACAAAATTGGCTACATAAATGTAAGCTAATATTATTATATAGCATGCAGCCCATAAAGGGCTTTGAGGTTAGCAAAAGGCTAAATGTAAATCAGTTAATACTAACAGGAACATGCTGTTGTTGTTTCCTTTTCTTCCCCTCCTTTATAAACATGAGTACAGGCATGTTACGGAATTTTAAAGGTGCCAGAAGGCAGCTGGCTATGCCGGACCTGTGCGCTTGGTGTTCAGCCAAAGTGTTTATTGTGTCCCAAGAAAGGTGGAGCTATGAAGCCTACTCGTAGTGGGACGAAGTGGGTCCATGTGAGCTGTGCTCTGTGGATTCCAGAGGTAGGTGTCAATCCAACTGATGTACCTGTGTTCAGATTCAGAGCAATCTTGGCAAAGGACAAATCTGCTCATAACAACATACAATCTGAAGTCTGTTGCTATAATGAATGTAACATCCGTGCAGCATTTGTTGTTAGGGAGTAGAAAAAAATAAAAGATAAAAACAGGGAAACGTTAATTTTCAATTAAACATAGAGGACATAGAGTCTGGCAGGATAATACATGATCTATAAGAAAAAGGTAATTACATTAGCTCAGTGAACTACAATACAAATGGCTCATAGGCCTAAAAAAAGGACAACTGCTGGGAAAACTAATTTAGTAAGAGCACAAAGTAAGCACTGTTTGTATTTGTAGATGGAAACTCAGAACCTGGGTAAGCAAGTATTTGGATTAACAGCGGTAATTCTTGAAAGTTCTGGCATTCAAAATATTCATCCTTTAAAATCACTTAAATTGATGCAATTTGCATCAAAGCTGTTCCATTTTTATTGGGGAAGAAGTGGTTTTGAAACTGGATTTTTCTCTCTTTGTAAACTGAAAAACCTGGTACATATTAATTTGGCATGTTACCAAGCAATGAAACAGATTCATAATGGAGAATTGTGCTTTTATTTTTGCCTGGTGTGGGACCTACAAAGGGACTTAAGCATTGCAATGATATTATGTGCCTAGAAACTTCTGGAACAACACTGTGATCCACAAAGCCTGACCATAGGTACCTAGTCTCCCTGTACAATGAATGGGGATCCACAGAAGCTAACATGCTAGGTGGGGAGACACCTAAGCTAGCTAGTGGGAGATGCTGATCAGAGGAGTGTATGCTAAGCATGCTTATTGGATTGGGCCCTACATGCAAATGCCTGTCTTCCCCTGGTTTGTGGATCATTCTGCGGCTTTGGCGTGAGATAGGCATCCAGACGCCTAAAGCAAGACAGCGCTGCGCATGCTAAGAGGCAGAAATACAGGTGCCTAGGGAACTCTTACCCTGAAAAACTTGGGTGCTGAGTGAGTTTAGGTGCTGCATGGTTCAGTGGCAGTTCTGTGGATTGCAGTGGAGCCAAAGCTGGGACTTAGGTGCCTAAGTCTGGGGTTTAGGCACCTAAATATTTTCATGGTTCCCACCCCTTCTGCTTATCTTTCACTGTATATTTTTCACTCTGATGCTTAGGTGAGTATTGGCAGCCCAGAAAAGATGGAGCCCATAACCAAGGTCTCTCACATTCCCAGCAGTAGATGGGCATTAGTGTGCAGCCTTTGCAATGAGAAGATTGGGGCATCCATACAGGTAATAAACTAACATGAGTGTGTTTGTTATAGATGTAAATGTGCATTCTATAGAACCTCCCTGATTCCCTGCCCAGTTTGCACAGAAAAACATCGCAGTAGAGTTTTAATAGCAGGTAATGTAGGGAGGTTATAGTTTAAGGATTCCTAACTTTTACAAATGTACTTAGGTGTGGTTATCAGAACACCGAAATATAAATAATGAAATTTGAATGAACATACTTGTTCAATGAACAAAATACATTTTGTGGTGCATTCTCCTTGCTTTTTAAGTAGCACTTGTTCTTTTGCTCGTTAATTTGTAAAAGTGTGTAATTTTCTGTGGCCAAAATATTTAAACTTGGATGCCAAAAACTGTGTGCTAAAATTTACCTGCACGTATGTTCAAGGTGATTGTCAAGTTAGATTCCCAATTCCCCTTGAAAATCTTCCCTCTGATGAGCAGCTTGATTTTCAGAGATGGTGAAGACTTGCAGCCAACACTGAAGTCAATTGGAATGAGAATGCTCAGCACCCTTCATGATAAGGCTGTGAATCAGGTGACTAAATATGGATTTAGGCACCTAACTTTAGATAGCGCCCAACTGTAAAGATTTTGGCCTGTGGGTCTACCAGGGATTAAAGTGAATTGGTAATGTCTGCGGTTGTGGGTAAGAAAGGAGTTATACTATCATAGTCTTTTTTTATTTGATAAATAATCAGGTGTTCTCATTTGTTGGTCTTTTTAGTTCAGTTATGAGAATCTCTGCCATTGAGCTCCAGAGTATGCAGGAAAGGAACAGTTTGCATGCTTAGAATCTGCTACAAAGGAGCACAAATGAGCCTCAAGCAGAGGAAATACAAGGCCCTTCTTCAGCTGGTGATGAAAAGCCACAAATCTGGCAGATTTAGGGGTGGCTGGCTTTGCAGATATTTTGTATTCTCTAGAATCAAAGCTTCTGGCCCTGATTTTCCCATTGCCTTGCGCCTTACAGAATCGTTTACACATCTGTAAGGTAGCTGTAAAACACTAATATTTTGATGTTTATTCTCACTTAGCACAGGTGTAAATGACTGCACAAGGTGCAAGGCAATGGGAGAATCAGGCCCAGCGTGTTCAAGGAATAACTATCTCCATGTACAGTAAAGAATTAATCTTTGGCTGTGTATCCAGCACTAAAGCAAGAACACCAATATCCTGCTTCCTATCACCAATTCACATTCTTGGCAAAATTCCAGTATGGGTCATATACTTCTTAATGAATTTATCTCTAAAATTTCAATGGGATGCGGATTTTTCACTTATTGTAAAATGTTCTGTGGTATTGCAGTATGGTGTTAAACAGTATTGATCTGCCCCAGAGTTACCTGCATTTCAGAAGTGAGTGAAGAGGTTCCTTGTATACATTACATCAGCTTGTGAAATTTATAAAGCACTTTGGGATCCTTCAGGATACAAGACAGTATATAGATGTTATGTAAAGGGGTATTAACTCTGATAGCAGTTTTACAATATGTAGAGATCTACAGTACATATTGCTTAGATCTGAATCTTAGTTCTATTGGTATCACTGTGAGAAAGACCACAGGTATGTTTGAATGCATTTTAGAGCCTGTGGTGTCCTGCCTTTGCTGGGGAAAGTAAGGCTAGATGACCTAATTGTCGGCAGAGTTGTGCTATCTAATAAAAAAAACAAAGTATGTAGTAAAGCACTTAGAAGACGAAAAGTAGAGCTCCGAGTTCTGAGTTTAGATCACTGGATCGTGCCACTCTCTCCTGTGTTCCTCTGTCGCTGAGGCACTGATGGCGTTTTCTGGGAAAAGTTATAAAATAGCAGTTCAGCAGACATTCTAGTGAAACCGTTCAATCTGTTTGTCAGCAGCCTTGTTTGCTGTTCGCACTTCAGTTAAGGTCTGAAATAATACACATCTCAAGAAAAGAAAATTAATCTGTCCACTGCCTTTTAATAAATAAAACAGTCCTGTCCTCTGTCTCTTGGAAACTTACATAATGGAGAAATCAAACTATTTTGTCCCCCAATACTTGTTTGAGGTAACTCTGTAGCAGTTTCATACTGAATACAGATTTTTTTTGGTGTGGTTTCTTTACATTCTTGCTCTGAAAACCTCTGTCTTCTGGAATAACAGAATGGGATAATACGTATGCTGTACAGCTGCCACTGTAGAAAGTTACACATTTAAAAAAATCATTTGGAGAAATACTCTTGGTTCCAGTTTTCTGTGACATCACCAAAGAGTATTAGTGGGGCTTTGTGATACAAGAAACATGAATGCGAGAGTATTCTCATGGCCTATAAATACTTTAAATTTGTGTATTAAACTTTTAGATAGCAGGAAAAAAACAGAATTTACGAAGTGTGTAATAAAAAAGGTAATAATCAACTGAATGACTGGAGGGAGAAGAGGCAGTTGCTCCAGATATGTTTTATATTATGAGATGTTCACACTAATTTAAAAAGCGAGCTGCTTGATGTGTGCATAGGGATGGGCAGAAAGCAGCTGCTGCAAGCTGGGAAAAGCAAGACTGCATTTTCTTCCCAGTTCAAATTTCCTTCAGATGAGACAAGCTTTCCTCTCCACTCAACAGAACTTTACTTTTGATACAAGCAAATTATTAAGAGCTCCTAGTACCATGGAACTTGCTGCAAAAAGCACTTCTTTTGTGTTGTTTAATATCCAGCTGTGCTGCTGTTGCCCTGTTTGTCCACAAAGCATTTATTTGGAGGAGGCGAAAGGGCAAAAGAGGGTTTCACCATTTTTCATATCCTTTCCAAGTATTGATTTTATTAAAGAATATTTATCTGAAACCTTTGCAGTTTAAACTCTGTAGTATACATTTAGCTGACATCTGGCTGCTGAGTCAACCTGAGCTGGAAAACCCAGAGGAGACAGATACTTGGCTTTGTTACAAATCACTGTATAAATATCCTGCCGCAGTGCATTTCTCTTTAAGGTTATATCACTTGGGTTAAGTATAGTTTAGTCCTGTCAGAGTTTGTCTGTGACAGGCCTTTCCACTTTTATTTCTCTATGTTGGGAACAAGGGTCCAAGTCAAGGGGGGATTTTTAAAAAAATTATTTTTCTATTTATGGCTGGTTATGGCTATTAAACACTTTGCAAAAGAAAGTTAGCTACAGATAAAATCAAGTGCTAAAGCAGTTTAGCTCCATAATGGCTAGATGGGAGATAGGGGAGAGCTTGGGAGATGACAAAAGAAGCAAATTGTAGTTTTTTCTCATGTGAAGTAGAAGAGCACTAAGTGACTGAAGTAGTGAATGTCACTGATTTAATACGTGACATTCTAAATTGATGATAAAAGAAAAAGAATCCCACCGGGCCCTTGCTTTTTAAGTAGCACTTGTTCATTTCTTCGTTAGTTTGCAAAAGTGGCCAGTTCCAGGTGCTGTGAGAGATGTTAATTAAAGTATCCGACTGGCTGGGAGCCACAGGGTATTTCTTCTCTGGAGTGCTGACACACCCAAAGGGGATCGTTTTGCCTGTCATGATATTGCGTTAAGTGACTAGCTCCAGTGGTACCATGAGAAACCACCTCTTGTGGAGTTGCTCATATTGAATCGTATGATAAGCCCAGGGGAAGTTCATCACTCATGTCTGCGAGACCGCTACGTTGTTGCTTGAACTGACAGCATTAAATTGCAAACCTAGTAGTGAGAAAGTACTTGGCTTAGATGCAAAACCCAGTACTGTGGTGTGTTGTACCGCAGTTGTGCTGGTGTAAGCATTGATCTCAAAGGAGCCGTGGCTGCGTAGGTATTTTGTGCATAGTATGTGACTTTTTATTTAAAACATGTTTATTTTTTCTGCAGTGCTCGGTGAAAAACTGCCGAACAGCTTTTCATGTCACATGCGCATTTGACCGTGGCTTGGAGATGAAGACCATCCTGGCGGAGAACGATGAGGTCAAGTTCAAGTCTTACTGCCCCAAGCACAGCTCCACCAAGAAACTGGATGATGAAAACCTCAGTGAAAACACCAGCCATGAGAATGGGACACAAGACAGCTCCCCTTGTGCCCATATAGAGTCCTTTCACAGCCTTGATCAAAACCAGGAGGAGGCCCACAGGGTCAGTGTCCGCAAGCAGAAGCTCCAGCAGCTGGAGGATGAGTTCTACACATTTGTCAATGTCTTGGAAGTGGCCAAGGCCCTGCGGCTGCCTGAAGAGCTGATGGAGTTCCTGTACCAGTACTGGAAGCTTAAGAGGAAAGGCAATTTCAACAAGCCCTTGATAACCCCAAAGAAAGACGAAGAGGACAATCTGGCCAAGCGGGAGCAGGATGTTTTGTTCAGGAGACTGCAGCTCTTCACGCACCTCCGGCAGGATTTGGAGAGGGTAAACCAATGCAAGCTTATGCTTGTGGGGAGAAGGTGTTGTGTTTGGGTAGCTGAGTTCACAACCTAAATCAGTGATAATATATTCCCTTGATTTTTGCCAATGGATGTGGGCAACCAAATTTTGTTCCAACCCAGTGCTCTGAAGATTGCATTGAATTTGTATAGAGCACAACAAGTTGCAGCTATCATCTTTTGAAAGAGCGTGTCAGCCCGCAGAGGTGACAGGTCCTGGCAGTTAGTGCCCAGTCTCAATCTGAACAGTGTCGGATATGTTAGACTAGATGACCCTTGTGGTCCCTTCTAATCCTAAGATTATATGTCTGCAGTGTAGCTGGGAGTGAGCCTCACAGCACAAGTAGATAGACTCACATTAGCTCAGCTTTAGCTAGCATGCTAAAAAACAGCATGGATGTTGTGGCTTGGGTGGCAGCTCAGGCTTTCAAGCCCACCTGACTCTCTGGGTCTAAGCTCGGGTGGCTAGCCCGAGTCTCCACTAGTGCCACAACATCCACACTGCTCTATTTAGTAGACTACCTTACAAGTCTATCTACCTGGGCTGGGAGACTTGCTCCCAGCTGCTGTGTAGGTGTACGCTTTGTGGACTTCACTTCAGTATTGGTGACATCGTGGGCTGTACTGCAGCCACTTCTGGGTAATATATTTTCACTATCACAAGCAGTTAGCTTGTGATACTTTCTCCTGGTGGTACCTGCTGCTGATGCACATTTTTCAAACAAATGAAAAACCAAATCAGTCTTTCCTTGTGTCTTTGATGTGGAGCTGGCTTGTTTTTACTTTGCTAACAGAACAGTGTGAGGTCAGCATTTCACCAGAAATATGTACATAATATTTTGAGTAGACAGTGGCATACCATTGGGTTGGGTTTTGAATGTTAAAAAGTGTAATGGAATGGTATCAGCTTGGTCTTTTATCCTTAGTACATCTGCCTTAACAAGGATGTGAAATTGAACTTTTGCTCTCAGATTAACTGGCAAAGAGAGAGATATTTTTTTAAAAAAAAAACAGAAGGGACCATTACAGGCCATACAATCTGACCCAGCAGATCCTTTACCAGGTCCAAAAAGCTTGTGGTTGAACTAGAGCATACATTTTAGAAAGACATCCAGTCTTGATTTAAAGAGTTCAGGTGATGGAATCTACCCTAACCATTCATAAAACTGTTCCAAGGCTATTACTCTTATTAGTAAACATTTATACCTTATTTCAGTTTGAATTTTTGTAGCTTCAATTTCAAGTCAGTGTCTCTTATGCATTTTGTAGTATCAGAAATCTTCTGTCTCCATAGGCACTTACAGGTGTTCAAGTCTCCTGTTAACCTTCTCGTTGAAGAGCTAAATAAGTTGAACTCCTTAAGTCTGTGTGTTCTCCAGCCGTCACAAGTTATTCTTGTGTAATATTCTGCACCTGCTCCAATTTTACAACATTCTTTTAAAAGTCTGGACACATTATTCCAGCAATGGTCACGCAAGTAATAACGCCTCTCTCCTCCAACTTGACATTTCTGTTTATATATCCAAAGGTTACATTAGCCCTTTTAACCACAGCTTGGATTGGTAGCTCATGTTCAGTTGATTATCTTCTAGTCTGACTCCGAAGTCCTTTTCAGAATTGGCACTTTCAAGGATACAGTCTCTCATCGTGTACATGTGACCTATGTTCTTTGTTCTTAGATGTGTGACCTTGCTTGTTTGCACCCAGCTTACCAAGCAATCTAGCTCTGCATAGGTGACTTGTCTTCATCATTATTTACAACTCTGCCAGTCTCTCTGTCACCTGCAAATGGGGCTCAATACAGGGGTAACTGGATGAAATTTGGTGGCCTTTGTTGTGTGGGAGGGCAAACTAGATCTAATAATGATCCTTTCTGGTCTTAAAATCTATTAACATGATTTTAAATTTTCTTGGAGATCATTGATAAGTATGATTAGCATTAGGCTGAGAACCTATCCCTGTAGAATCCAACTAGAAACAACTACTCATGGATGATTCCCCATTAACAATTATGTTTTGAGATCGGTTAGCCAGTTTTTAATTTATTTAACATGCCATATTGAGTTTGTACAGGGATTAACCTTTTAGTCAGCATGTCATGCTGTTGCGAGTCAAAAGCCTCAGAGAAATCCATATATACTTCATCCACTAAATTTGTAATCTCAGAGAAGTTTTGAGTTTCACAGGAAGATAACTCAACTGTGATGCTAGGGCATATAGCTCTGCAACCTGCTGGGACCTGACTACAAGTGTTGGGCCCAGCTTGGGTGGGATAGGAAAATAACCAGCCCCTCTTGGGCGCAGGTTGTGTTGATTTGCCTCACATCTACCTTCCTGTGGCAGTAGCATACCTGCTTCTGCTGGCTACAACCATCTCTTTGTTCTGTGTGCACTGTGGGCCTCTTGTTTTGCAGCCCTCATAGAGCAGCAGGGGGTGGTGGACAGCTGGCACAGGGCATGCAGCTGCTACCATGCCAACCTCATGACAGGAAGCAGAGAGCCAATTCCACAGTTTGGTGACGATGGCGCAGACTCAGGTTTGGGGTCATGGCTTAAAAATTAGGCCAGGTCCTAATGCGGAGTTTCTCTATTGTGATATTTTTGTGTGACTGTCCCAATCAGCAACAAAATCAAGAAAAAATCCTCTACCACAGAAATCAGAAAAAGATTTATATTTTAGAAAACATTCTTCAAATATGTGTCTGTGTGGATCCCACTGTAGGCACTCATGCATGTGTGATCAAATTTTCTTTTGACTAGCAGTGTCTGTCAATGCAGTGCGTGCCACCTCATGCTCTCGCAGCCTCCCTCAGATCTCTTTTACTGTCCACAGCAGTGAGATTGAACCTAGCAAGTGTCCAACCCACTAGTACTTAGCTAGGACTAAACTTCTGCAAAACCTTCTGCAAATCATCAGAACCACGTCTGATCTTCTGTTTTGACTAACATGAACTGACCACCAACTTTCTGGACTGAACTTCTCTGAGCAGACTCCTTTGTCCAGGGTTTCTCTAATGGCAGACTCAAAACCCAGGGGCTTCAAGTCCTGTCCATTCTGTGATAGACTATTCCCCCTGAAGGATGGATACAGTAGGCATGCCTTCTGTCTGGAGAAATCACACATTTCAAGCACATGACAGTATGTTTATCCCCTTCTCTGTGAGGACTCAAAAGTCATAAGTTGGAAGGCTGAAACTCCACCTTCTGCAACAGTCTATGGAAAATCTCATCAAACCCAAAGGAAAAAAGCTCCAGAATCTAATTAATGGACAAGCCAGCATCATCTGCTACCCCATCGAGTAGACAAACAATGCCTAAGACCACTGTGAAGAATACAGTGCCAAGGAAAAACCTGGCACTGACATTGGCACCAAAACTGACCTGCTTTAATATGGAAGCTGGTACTACCATCTCAGAAGTTGAGCACTGAAAGGGAATGCTCTGAGCACTCAGGCAGAAGCTCAAGAAGAAGCTTAGGACAAACAGCAAACTCTTCAGTGACAGTCTTTGAAGTCCTCACAGCATCAAGGATGAAGGGAACGAACAGACTGTGATGCAAAAGATTTTGCCAGCACTAACATTGACCCCGAACTTGAGGGGTGAAGCTCAGGCAGAACCAGGTCCATGCTGAGATATACACCAGCACCAACACAGACTCTGATACGAAAGCACCGTTACATGCTGGTGTTCCCCCTACAGGAAGTCTACTCCTCTTCATCACTGGAGCATACATTCTCCCTGTCACTGAGCAGAGAACTTTCTTCCCCTCTAAGGTCTGCAGTTGATACTGCTGAGACACCTATGGGCTAATCCTACAGGCCTCAGCTCATCCAGACTCCCTTTCAAAGATTTCCTTTTGAACCACTGTCTGAGTGCTCAGTATGCTACCTTACTATCAGTCAGTCCTGTGGCCATTATATCAGCATAGAGAGTCAGTGAATTCCAAACTCTTGTGCTTTGGCCATCTTATACTTCCTTTCAAAGGGACAAAGTGGTGATGAAACCACACCTCAGTTTCATCCCTCAGGTGATCTTGGATTTATTCAGATGGAATTCCAACACCTTACCAATTGTCTTCTCAAAACTGCACTCAACAATGAGAAAAGCAACGAGATGTCTCCAAAGCCTTGCTGTTAGCTCAACAAGACAAAGCCTTTCAGATTGTCTCCCCATCTCATTGTGGCAATATCTGGCTCAAGCCATCTCATCACAGAGACTCACTAAGTGGATCACACAGTGCATTTCCACCTGCTGTCAGATGGCTGGTTAACGTCTCTCTCCGAAAGTCTGTTCCAATCTCAGATCTGTTAGGCAGCTATGTAGAGTGACCTACTGTCTTGTAAAACATTGCACTTGACATGGCAGCCAAATCAGTTGCCAAGATCAGGAGAGCAGTACTACAGTCTCTGTTTGATTGACTGCAGCTGAAGTTCCTCACTCACACCATCCTTGGAGGATACTGCTTGCCAGTTATCTATAGTGGGATCCACACTGACTACAACAGCTCAAAGAACAATAGCTATTTACTCTACAGTAATTGTGGTTCTTTGAGCTGTTGTAGTCAGTGTGGATCCTATACTCTATCCTCCATCCTCATTTTTTGAGTCCCCAGCTATTACAGGCTTTTAATTGTAAGGGAAATGAGGGAGGGTCATGGGCAACCCCATTCTATGTTCTTGCATGGACAAACACACAAGGAAGTACAGAGCGTATGCACAGCTCTGATGGACACTGCTAGTGGGGAAAAAAATCCACTCTCACATGCATGAAGTACATGTGCTCTTATAGTGGGATCCACACTGACCATAACATCTTGAAGAATCAGTTACTGTAGGGTAAGTGACTGTTCTATACAGAGCCTAGTGAACAATTAATAATTTGGTCTCACTTCCAGTTCTTTCAACAGTCATGCTATGTCTGTCGTACAGTGGCATACATAGGAGCCCTACTGCATGTATTAATTGACCCAAATGAGACTAAAATGGAAGGTTCATGAAGGACACTCTTACAACAACCCAAATTTTGACCCTATATGCTATTAAACATAACTAAAAAGGTGTGTGTGTGTATATATATATATGTTTAAAAATATGTATGTATGTATCCAATAGCAGAGAGATGTGGGTATGGTCCTCAAAGATCCCTCCTTATTTCTCCTTTTACTTCCACCTCCAACTTCAAGGACCTCATGTTGTGGCTACCTTCTCTCTATGCAGCCAGGGTTCAGTGATTCTCTGAGCATCAGATATGGTAGAGGAGGATACTTAGGAGTGATACATTTGCTCCTTAGCTAACAAGCTGTAGAGGCAGAGACAAACTGTATTCTGTACCAGCCTGGTACAGTTTATAGTTTTACTATCATTAAGCTCAGTGACATTATTTGCATTTTCTAGGTTCGGAATCTGACTTACATGGTGACCCGAAGGGAGAAGATTAAGAGATCTATTTGCAAAGTCCAGGAACAGATATTCAATCTCTACACAAAACTTATGGATCAAGAAAGAGTTTCAGGTATGTTTCACAGACTTCATTATCACATCCAAGCAGAGGAACAAAATGGTTTGGTTAAGGTCTACTTACTGTTTTGAAGCTCACCCTTATATTCTTGTTTAGTTCACTTTGCGCCGGGAAGTTGGAGGAAAAACCCCCTAATGAACCAAGGGCCAGTATATTCTAAATTTTCAGCTACAACATATTAAGGACAGTCACATGAGAAGCCATAGAAATAGATAAGTAAGTGGGCCTGAATTAACTAGCTATCCCTATGGAACTGAGTGTCCCAAGGAATTGGAAATGGGATGAAGAGACTTCTGTTTTAGCTCACTGCTTCAAAACCTTCCTAAATTGCTATAACCAATTTTTTTTCCACTATTGGTAGTTGTTAGTGGGCAGGGACTGTCACCTATTATGTGTTTGTTTAGCACCCAGCACAGTGGGGCCCAACCTGGTTGTGGCGTTTAGGAGCTGCTGCCTTATAAACATTTAATAGTAATAATAGCTGTTTGGTGATCTCAGTTTCATAGTGGATGGGTGTCCCCAGAGCTGACATGCATCTAGGCACCTTATCAGAAAGGCCCAGCACTGAATGGACATGAAGAAAGAACTCCTCTTGTTCCTAGAGGTTTTCTTTTCAGGTCATGGTAGCAGCCCATCAGCTTGGGTGTGTGCAGAACCTTTATGCTGTTCATGCTGAAATCACACTTCTCTGAAAATGTTGGACCGATTATAGCAACAAATAAGATCTAAGATCACTGTAACTTGGATCTATCTGTGTTTATGTCTGTTTGTTTTCTTTGTACTTTTGACAGCACTTTCTGTGGAGTCAGCTTCACTTCCCCCCCCACTCTATTTGTAGGTTTAGTATTTTCTCATGTTGTTTATATTAGTCTCAAACAACAGGGGAGAGAAAACATTTTTAAGAACAAAAGGAAAGTGTGTGGATAAAACCACAGATTTTGGCAATATGGACCCAGCAGCAGGTGTAGTCAGTTTTTTGGTTTTTTTTTAAAATGGATTAAACTTCAGGTTGACAGAGTCCCTTTAAATAGGTTATAAAGAAAAATGAGTTATTGGTAAAAATCACCTCTTTAACAGATTTTCATTTGATTTAATGTTGGTTTTCCTTGGCTAGTATGGATTATTTTCTGCATTTCCAAGTTTAGATTAAGAAAAGACAATGATAGCTCTGCTTGTCATGGTGTTTTCTGCATGTATTTGTATTCATTCTTCAACCAAAAAAAGTTGCATAAGTAAGAAAAATCACATCCCTGTTCATTTGCCTGTCAAATGTTTCATTTTCTATCCTTCCCGGATTAAACCCTTTCGAAAACACCATCAAGATGAACTCATCTTTTGGACCCCATCTGGAAGCATTGTGAACCTATTAAAATCAATTGGAAATGGAAAGGTCTACATTTCAGCACATGCTGTTTAAGACCAAGCATGTTGCTGTGATCTGTCAAACGAAAGGCACGTTTCTACTCCTCCAGAAGTGACTCAGCGATACTCAGTTCAGTTTTTGACTAACAGTCCTTCTGAATGAGTCTGCGAGACAGTGGGTTTAAAGGCATGAATTCTGATGCGGCAGCAAACTGATGTTAAAAAATCATTTACTGCTCACTGAAAATAGTTGCTTCTCCAGCAGGAAAATGCTACATTGAAAAGGTTAACTAGATTATCATTAAGGATTTAATAATTAGTCAGCTGCACAATCAGCTTGTCAAATCATGCATGATGACATATGTGGTAGTTTGTCTATTTAAGTGAAGGTGCTTTTTTCCAAAGAGTTTAATCAAGATTGCACTAGAACACATCTTCTAGACAAACATTGGACTTGAAACAGTAATGCAGGGAAGTCCTAGGGCCTGTGTTATGCAGGAGATCAGACTAGACAAACACAATGGCCCCTTCTGCCCTTAAAATCTGAGCTACACGTTAGCTATAGTATCTGTAGCGCTATGGAAATTGCATCTAAATATAATTAGACCTACAGTAAGTAGGAGAGTTACTGAAGGCTGATCACTGTCAGATGTTGGACATTATGAAAACCATTAAATGCTGGTCATGCGCCAGCATAATTAAAACAAGTTGGAGGCAGGAAAGAAAAAATTAAGAGAGGAATTTTAGGAGGTAAAAAGCAGCAGTTGTTATAGCGGGAAAGTGATTTGCTTTGGCTGAACTGTGAAGTAATTTCTCTGTGTTGCTTTTAGGTGTGCCTTCCTCCTCCTCAGTAGAAAACGTGGTATTGTTCAACAGTCCACCTTTGGGTCCTGATGCTCCCAAGATAGAGGATTTGAAGTGGCATTCTGCTTTCTTCAGGAAGCAAATGGGCACTTCTCTGACACACACACTGAAAAAATCACACAAGAGAGACAGAGTAAGGAACAGCTCTGGGAGTGACAGCAAATCCCTGCTCAAGCAGCCCAGCCGAAGGGAAGGTGTTGCAACTCCAGGTACCTTTTTAAATTTTGAAAAGGCCTTTGCAGAAGCACGCATTGTATCAGCACAACAGAGAAATGGGATAGTTATGACAGACCACAGGAAAAGAAGAGACAATCATTCCCCTTATGAGGTAATCAAGGCAGAACTGAAGGAAAAGCCTTCCAAGCACAGCCACAAGCCACTGACATCCACAGAAGTGTCTCAGAGGCAATCAGAAAACAAAAGGTCTGTGAACCATCCAGGTGGTAGGTCAGCACCTGGCACACGGAGGGATATAGTGCCTAAATGCAATGGATCTCTCATCAAAATAAACTGTAACCGGCCTGTAGTTAAAGTGCCTACTACACCCACAAGCCCAGTGAAAAACTGGGGCGGATTCCGAATTCCAAAGAAGGGGGAGAGACAACACCAGGGAGAGATCCAGGAGGAGACCTGCCACCAGAACTCTAACTATCCATACTTGGGCATGGGCAGAGTTTTGCCTAAAGACAGGGCAAAGAGCAAACTAAAGACAGACAGGGAAAATGATGGGTATGCTCCAGATGCTGAAATGAGTGACTCAGAAACTGAGGTGGCTGAGAAAAAATGCAGACAGCAAAGGCTTAGTCCAAACAGCACTATCAACAGGAGGACAGATATTATTAGGAGAAGTATCCTCGCTTCCTGACTGGACAGTAAGACATCTTCAGCACCATGGTCAATAGAGGCACTGCCTACAAACCCACTCTGCATTATTTATTGGTGTGAGGAGGGGAGCATGGGGTTTTAGACATGGCTACAGATTGACAAAGAGATAAACAAGCTGTATAAACATGTTTACGTGCACTTAAGACTACGATTTTGGCCCCTGTCCCTGAGTCCTTATAATCTGTTTCTGTGAGAAGTTTGAATCTTTTTATTTGCAACTTTCTTGAGGAAACATGACAACATCACTATTAAAATGGAATCTTTGGCAGAACACTAAAAGAATTCATTAAACACGGGGGGGGGGGAAGGGGAGGTTGCATCTGTCTCTCTTTAGCAAAACAGCACTGACAAGCATTTTTTCCTCTCCCCAAAAGCACAAGCTGTTAAATTAACTAGTGTATACTATATCAAATCTGGTTAGTTAACCATCCAGCATTTCTAAACCCATTACAAATGCTCACTTTCCTTGGACTGTGGCAGGTCTTTAAGGTCTGCAAAATGTTTTTGGTGTATTAGAGTTCAGCATACATGGCAGCTCTAAATCTTCCGTAACTCCAGAGAGTTTACATGTAAATACATCCAACAGGTAGTCAGTTTTAACCACAATTATGGGAGAAAAATGAAGGGGACAGGTTTGAGCTGCAGCTGCCTAGTGATACAACAGTAACAACATGAAAAGACCCAGTCTGAGCACAGAGCCATACTCTTAAGTTCCTCAATTCTGGGGAAGGAATACATTTAGAAGATAGTTTGTCCAGTTCTGAGAAAGGGACAAATTTATGGCTTACTGCATTCTATGGAACAATCCACAGAGCAGCTTTACCATTATCCAGTCACCTGCCCTCCAGGAATACGATGATAATTCGAGTGGGCATGACTAACTTGAAGGCACTAGTCAGCAGGATTTCCCAACGCCAGCCACTTATGCACTAATGGTATGTACTGGGACATCCAAGCATCTGACACTAAAGCGTTACTTTAAAAAAAAAAAAAACAAATATATATTTTTAAATAGAATTAAAAGGAAAGGCAATAAATTGTGATTAGCTCTTTACATTCAGACCAAGATAAAGTGATTTCATTCTATTCTGGACTAGAATTGATGAGAGAGGGAGCTCACAGTCTGATTACATAACTTTTTTAAATAACCACGAATGGCAATAACTTGTGAGTAAGCTATCAGCAATAACATTAACAGTACATAGAGAGAGATTTTGTTTGTGCACTGAATAGAGTGCATATGTATCATAACAATGGATGTTATAAGAGCCTGAAGTCTTTGGAATTCTGCATCAACGTAAGGCAGACATGAAATTGTTGAAATTAAGTTTAAGCAGCAGTGAGTTTAGAAATATGGGCAGATGGAAGAATCCCTTTTTCTTTTCCCCCACCCACTACTATCAGTATTCAATTACATAATACATTTTAACATTTAACCCCTCCTTATTGGGGCAGGGAAAGAATAAAGAAACAATAGAACTTTGCTGTTAACTTTAAGTCTTCCAGAGGATTCAGTTGACAAAATAGGCTTATTGACATTCCATCTTGCTATGCAAGTTATCAAATTAAAAACTTCAAACAAATGTTTAAAACTAAATTGAGACGTAACCTTTTGACACTTAATGGATAATCTTGGGAAGGGGAAATGTTTGTATTGAAACAATACTTTGTTTAAACATTGCTGCTCCTGAGAAACCAGATTCATCTCATGACTTTGCTGGTCAGATTAATTTGTTGTTGCACATAACAAAGGAGGAATGGTGGATCTGAGTCATACAGAGATTCACTCTTGATGTGACTTAAAATATTAAAGTTCTCTTTGATTAAAATTTTTTTATTGGCTATGGGAGAAGAGGGAAGTACAGTTGATTTCACTTTTAAATTCAGCAACATTTCTAGATGAGGGCTAAGTTTATTACTGTAAGGAGGTTGTGATATAGGGAATTATTTGTCAAGCCATAGAAGGAAAAAAAAATAAATTTGATTTTAAGCAAACATTTAACCTCACATCAGTTTGAAAGAGGTACCTGATTCATTTGCACTATTATGAATGCTAGCATTGTGCAGAAAGAATGCCTTATATGTTTTACTCCCCACACATTTAGGTTAATAAGCTTTCTAATGTTCCACTTTATGCTGAACCAAATAAAAAAGCGCTTTTCCCAAACCCCTAATTACAAAAAAAAGCTACAAGGCAAGCTAATTGCAGTATGGCCAGCTGTAAAAGTTAGTTTCATGCCAGGCTTAGCGCTCAGCAACAGAGGAGTCATAAGTATAGCAGTAACAACCCAAACCCACCCCTTGTGTTTTATTGGTATGAAACCATTCATTCATTTTTTTTAAGCTTTACCTTTCCTTGTGCAGATTGACCAAGCAATCTCTTTGATTATGATTGGTGTATTATGTCAAAATGTAGGCTAGTTGAACTTTTGTAAAGTTGCCTGGAATGCCATTTGTTAGGGTATAAACACACACAAATCTAAATGAAGGGTTTATTCGTGTCATGTGTGCAAATCTTTATTATTTTAAAAATTTGAAAAAAATTGTCATTACATTTGTAAAATCTTGTACAGAAGATTTTTCACTATGTGCCTAGCTTTGGTGTCCATTCAGCTAAAATTAAAAAAAAAAAAAAGGTGCATGACGAGAAACTGATAGAATCAGAGATAAAAAGTATATGTAGAGATGACTATTTTATATTACTTGGCCCAAACCTGTATTTATTTTCCCCCTTTTCTGAAGTATTTATAAAGATCTAGTTGAAGACAGCTGTATTTTTTTGTTAAAATATTTAGTAGAATTGTGCCTTTTTGTCTGTATGTGAATAAATGCTGTACATTTTGCAATAGACTGGCAGTGTTCAATTTTAAAATCTCCACTTCTGTCCATTCTGTTCAGGTTTATATACCGTATTCATTGCCATGATATCTAAGCAAAGTTAAAATAAACATCCTGCATATATGTATATGCTTAACTTTAAGCATATAGGCTGTCTCATTGCAGTAAGCTCATGTGCTTTAAGCACATTTGTGTTTCCAGGATTGGGACCACTGGGACCAACAATTGTCATGTTTGGTGCCCAGTCATATATATATATATATATATAGCTTACCAGTAATGAAATGCTATTACATATTTCTAGAGTGATATGACTGTAATACTTACTCAGTGCTTGCCATATCTTCTCTCTTACTCGTAGCATTAGCAGTTGAAGTTTTTGAAACTGGAAGGTGCCTGAGGTGCTCGCAAGACCAAGATATAGCTCTTTCTTCCCTGTATTGGCTCTGGAGTGCCAACAGTAGTAAAACATTATTTTAATCATTTAAGGTCAGAGTATGACCTCTCCTTTATTCATTTTTGGTGAACAATTTCTTAAACAAGTAATCTTTCTGAAATCAGTGGATCTACCTGTGATTATTTGTTCAGCAGTGTTAGTAAAGGGCTCACACACTGGCCTACAGTAAGTCACTAAAATGGAGTATAAACTTAAAAAAAAAAAATACTTACCAGATTCTCTTCTAAGTCACTTTGCTATCCTTGCTGTCCAAAACTGCACTTTGAATTTTAAATCATCTTAGGTTTGCTTTATGGAACAAGTGAAAGGCAAATAGAAATCTTCATAAAAGTTTGGCAGTTTGGTTGAAATAGCCAAAAATCTACAGAATGCAGAAATGTAGTTTCGTTATAAACAGAAAGAGGACTATTTCTTTACATTTTACAAGTGTACCTCTGAATGTTTCTATATATGGAATGTTACATATCCGTGATCTCTTACTGCTACAGTGGCAAGTTCACCAAATCATTTATGTAACCCAACAGCATCATACTTACTGTGTGTTGAAATGGGCTTCCACATTTCAAGTTTGTTACAGGCTGTTCATTGCAATGTTAACTGCCCACCCATCCAAGGGTAAGACATGGCCTTATGATGCCACAACAGCCTATATCAGATAAACAAGTGCAGCCGTTTACAAGGAACTACATAATCTCCAAGCTGGAGGTGAGGCACCACTTTATGAAAAAATTCCAAGGATGAATGTGCAGGAAAACCCTTATTTCCTAATACATTAAGGCAACATTAAGTTTCAATCTTAATAGAGTGTAACCTCATCATTCTCTTATGCAATGCCAGTCACAGTGGATGTTTAATATTGTGCAACCTTAACTCTACCTGCCTATGTGCATGCATTGTAAAAAAAAAAATGATTTCAATTTGGATAATGTTACAGGAATCGAAAATTCACAAAACAGACCAAGACTGTAGGGAAAATCACTTTTATTCTATTGCATTATTTGGGAAATAGTAAGTGGTCACACAATTAAAGGCTGTATTTTAAGACATGTTCATAGGACAGAGAAAATTGCACATTCACCTTTACTTTGCATCCCCAACTAGAATGTTTCACAGTGCCACCTTAATGTTACAGTAACGCATGTTTGCACTCTAATGGAGATGAGGGCTGCTATATTAGACTAGGTCTGCACTTCAAAATATTCATTTGGCTCAGTGTCCGCAAAAAGACATGAAAAAAGAGTAGGGGACGTTAGTCCTTTATTATTATATACAAAATTATGTTAAAAGCACATTAAGGTTGCAAGTCAAGCATTCAAAGGTTAAAAAATGCCAGAATTAAGGTTGCCTGTGCAATTTTAGAACCCCACAAGTTTGAGCCAGCTGTGACAGGCCAGCCAGGGGTGTTTAATTGCAGTGTAGACATACCCTTTGTAACCATCTATGAAAAATCTGGTTTAAGTGATTTGCCCAGCATGACACGGGAACTCTGTGGCACAGGCAGGCATAGGACGTTAGGTCCCCAGGGCACCTTTCAACACAACCATAAAACCATCCTTTCTCTTCCTGCAATGCGCTGCCCCGTTTGCTATATACCTGATAGTTCTACAGCCAACAGCCTCCTCTAGAACACAACTCTTTAATCCCTAGAGCAGGTTGCCGGTGCAACCTTAATTCAGCCCCCTTCTGTAAATGCATTAAGAATTAGTCTTTAATTACAGGGTTACACACTATTTTCTCCCCCAGGACCTCTGCCTCATTCAGTGCACAGACTGGATGGTGTTCACTTTATGAGCAGCTATTCAATATTTTATTCTATTCATTGTTCAATGTATGGCCCCATGCCTTATTTACTGCACATTATTCAAACCCTATTCTGAAGACAAATTATTAATTTCCTCATGGGCTATGGTGCTCATCACTAACAGTATCTGTGTTTCACATACAATGATTAATTTATTATTTTCACACCATCCCTATGAGATGGAGGTATTATCCCCATTTTATAAATGGAGAACTAAGGCAGAGAGAAATTAAGGTAAAAAGTATCCACTAATTTTGGGTACCCAACGTAAGACTTCATTTTTCAGAGTACTTAATGTTATTATACAGCACTTTATATGTTCAAAGAAGATGCTCCCATTGACTTCAGTAGCAGCTGAGAGTGCTCAGCACTAATAAAAAAAATCAGACCTCAGGATCTTAAGTCAGGCAGCCAGAACACAAGGGACACACAATTAGGATGTGTCTACATAGCAGTTAAACAGCTATGGCTGGCCCGAGTCAGTTAGTTGGGGCTCAGGCTGTGGGGCAGTAAAACTGTGGTGTAGACATTTGCGGGGTCCCACAGCTCTGGGCTCCAGCCCAAGCCTGAACGTTTAGCTGCAGTTTTACAGCCCCACAAGTTGGAGTCTATATACCTTCTGACTGTTCAACAGCCTCCTCTAGAACACAACCATTTAATCGCTAGAGCAGGTCCATTCTGTACATTTAGAGCACATAGGAGAGAGAGGCTCCCTGCTCTCAACTCCAGTGCCTGGACCCACCACAACCCAGGGCACCCAGAAATTGCATTTGCAGGGAAAATCATGCTCAGGGAAGATTGACTCTTCAGAAAATTGAACTGTTTTAGCAAGTCTCTACTGAGCATGTATGAATTGAGGTTTTTTCAGTCTTATGCCTTGGTCAAATTTGGACAGATTTTTAAAGGGCAAGGCAGAAGGCACATGCCTCACACAAAGGCTACTCTCTACTAAATTTCAACTTCCTGCATGGGGGTGCTAGAGCCATTCTCAAAGTCAACAAATCCTGACAATCTTAATATCAGCAAAATGTACCCAGCCCTAGCCTTGTTTTCAGAAATGGCTGAATTGTTTTGGCTGAAACTTTCCAAAAAGTTTAGCGGGGTTATAAAGCAACTGAAAACAGGGTCTTATAAAGGGAATTGTCAAACAACCTTTATAAGGCAGTACATCCTATAATTATGATGTCAATATATGTGTTAATTTCCCTCAACAACAAAAGAGCTGTAATCAACACACCATTTTGAACTGAAAGTGGGGGATACTTGCAGTTTGAACAGTAGTATCAACCCAGACCTTTTTGGTTTGTATTAGTTGCCTCTGTTCTTTTATAGCTTCATACCTCAATTGCATATTCCCTAAATGTAAGCTATTTTACAAGTTCCAATACATCACCAGTACACAACCTCAGGCAAAATGTGCACAGAAGGGGCAATTGCACCTCTCTGATTCATGATGTACAGCCTGTAGTCTAAGCGTTAGAAATCACCCCTTCTTGACCCACACCAGCCTCTGCATTGATGAGAAATGGCTCAAGTAGTGTTGAGTCATTCTCTAGCTTGGATTTATTGGTCATCATCTGTGGAAACTGTAAACATTTCAATAAGCCATCTTTAATTTACTAAAACCAGAGAATGCTTGTTTCTGATTAAATACATTATTCCTTTGATTTTAGGACCTTCTTTCAATTATACTCCCATCTATTGCTGATTGTGGCAATAAAATCAGAGTGATATGAGAAAACAGGTGGCTTTTCTCTTGTATGAAGATGGGCTTTTAGGAATTCAATATATGAATTGCAGCACTGTGACGTGACAAGGACCGAAGCATTAAAAGATTAAAAGAGCAGATACTGTAAAATTTGCATATTTAGTAAAAACTAGCTCTGTATGAGAGGATCAGCTGAGGTGCTCAGGCTCCCTGGTTTAAATGCAAACAGACAGACAGCAAGTGAGGTGCTCTCAGTGAGGGGCCACAGGTTTTCAAATGAACTTTCTCTTTTGGCTTAGTGTCTAGGTTTTTAGTGATATTTATGGCATGCTGCAAGCCTTGCCTATTATTTGGGAACAAAGATTAATTGGAGATATGTGGTGGCTAATAGGGTATAAGAAGAAACAGGAAAGTGGATCCATGCATACTTGAAAACCAACTTTGAGTAATAGGTTCACAGAGCCAGCCCTCCCTTGTTATAAATTGGGCTCGGCACTGGGATACATCAAACTGAGGAAGTGATTGATTAAAACTATGCTCCGCAGTAGGAGACAGCAGGAGTTATTCTTTCTTAAGTACAGTTTTTTTCTTAGATTATTAAAGGAGGAGAATTATCCTTGGCTATGGAAGTGGTCTTAACTGACAGACTCTTTGTGGGCAGGACAGACCCCTACCTCCAGTGACTGACAGTCTGGTTCTGCCCCAAAGATGCAAGCAGGCTGAAGACCCACTGTAAAAATCTATGCATCTTATTCAAAGAAAGGAAATTTTCAGGTAAGCATGGATGAATTATCAGTCCAAATAAATTTAAGTTTCATTGTCCTTTATATTGTAAATATGTTGAGAGGGAGGAGAAAATATACAGTATTGTGAAAACCTTCAAATAAACACACAAGAAATTAAAATCACTTACTTCAGACAATGATGGACTTTCAAGATCTGTCAAATGAATTTTCAAATGTTATATATGCTTAAAGAGAAAACAGTTAAGAGTCTAATATACTAACTTTCCTTCAAAAGCCCTTTTTAGAATAATTGCATAGAATTTGCCATCCTCAAAGCAAAAAGGACAAAATGTAATCTCAAGAGAGTCCTTGAACCCTTATTCTGTGGAATTAAAATGAATATTTTGATCTGAAAGAGTCAAGGGGGGTATATAATTGCTACATGTTCTTCTGTATGACTTTGCCTAGCCTGTTGTACAGTGTTGCTGCTAGGAATAACAGTTGCCACAGGTTCCCATACATGTGCATACCAGGGAAAGAAGTTGATCACACAGGTAAGGCACAACTGTGAAGTAGTGATTAGAGTAAGAAGTACAACTGGGAAGAGCCTGGAGTACCAGAGACCAGATTAGTATCTACCTTTTACTATTTTCAACAGGTATCATGGAGGAAACAAACTGAAAAAACCCACAAATACTGTACTGCAAAACACTGAAAGTCAAGGCAGTCATGTGCAAAACTACCACACATCCCCACTATTTGAAACTCAGGACATAACTAGTTTCTCAGTTTCATTCACCAAAGAGGATGCAGCCCATTCCTTCCCATGCACACAATCTGTTTAGAAAGTACATAATTTATTCCATTGCACTTGTACATTAAGAAAATGTCATACAAAATGTAATTAAACAAATCATTTGTACATACAGAGTAAAGGTGTTTATAATTGTCAGCACATTGGTATATATTGCTTTAATACTACTTTGTCATGATTGCCATTAAATCAAAAAACCCACACTATGCACAGTACGCTTGTAATTTTACATTGATGAATGTGGGCTTCATTTTACATAAGAAATCATTATATTATTTTGCATACTCTCATTCCTGTATTTACTGTGAGCTTTTTTCCCCCTTGCGCAAACAGAATGGAAAATGTTTATGCAAATTACACAAGTCTAGCTGTGTGCTATAGGCTTTAATGCTCCAATACTGTATTCCTCTGACAGATTTTCCAATTCTTAAGTGGTGTGAATGAACAAAGCATATTTTTTAAATATTTTCTAGATCCACCATGGAGGCAGCTTTTTTCCTCTGCACAGTAATCACATTGAGCTGCAAGTAAAAACAAACAGTCAATAGTTTCACTATTCCACGAAAATCTCAATAAGCAAAATGTCACGGAGGAGACAGAATAAACACAAATAACTGAAATTTTGGATACTTGAAAGAATTCTCAATATATGCCCACGGTTGTGACCCTATTTCACATACAAAAGAGTTTTGAATGATGGAGGATTGGGTAATAGAGGTTGTGCTATACTAAAATAAAATGCATGAAATGTAGAATTCAAATTATTTTAAAAAAATGCAATGTCTGTCTAAAGGATTGCATTTTAGTGGTGATTTTTCAGTGTTGCACCCCTCTTTTATGGGTATTAGACTAAAGTAAAAACCAGTCACTGACTATTTAATAGAAATATTACATTTTATAGATAGTGTCTTTCATCCTGAAATGGCTATACATGATACTTTATATACATACTGCATCACTGAAATGCAAACCTTTGTGATAGGTGGCAACAGCTAAGGGAACAAGTGACACATAGCAAATTATACAACAGTAGACAGATGAAATTGGGTCACAGTACACGGGGAAACTCCTACTCTTAAGAAAAGGTATGTGGGATCTTTAATGTTGAAACAGTAGACAGGACAGATTAAACATTTGCAATATTTGTATGCAGGACATAATTTGCAGTGGGGTCATTTGAGTTCCAAGTTTTCTTTCTTCCTGACACTCACTGCAAAGGTGAAGCAAACAAAACTATGTATTTTCCATGCTGTTCATTTCTGCTTATTATCCCGGTCTATCAGACTGCAGTTCTCCTAATATCTTTGGACCTAACAAATCTATCTATTTTCCATACACTGCTTGCCCATTAATAAGTAGTAATGCACTCCAGAGGGTTGCACTCCAGCCAATCTTAGAGAGAGTAACATTCAAGACTACTGAAGTGTAGTAAACAGTTCAATTTGGGAACACAATGCTAATGAGGAAGGGATGGTACAACTGTTCCATATACAGGATCGTTTTCCTGCTAACTGTTTACAGCTAGGTAATTTTTGCCTTGTGAGTCTAAAGTAGTTAATGTTATTACTGGAAGGGATGTGTGTGTATGGAGGGCATTCTGGTGTTGGATCAACATCAAACTCTTTTAAGCTGTAAAACTGCCCTCCTGACTTTGTAATTTGTCTAAAATGTATCATGACTGCTTCTTGGAACAGCTTGTCCTGGAACCAACAAGGGCAGAATCAATTCTTGATTTAGTCCTAAGTGGAGCACAGAATCTAGTCCAAGAAGCAAATATAGCTAAAACCTCAGTAATAGCGACCATAATGTAATTAAAGTTAACATCCTTGTAGGGGGAAAAATGCCAAAGAAACCCACCACAGTAGTATTTAACTTAAAAAACAGGATTACACAAAAAAGGGGATGCTAGTTAAACATAAATTAAAAGGAACAGTCACAAGGATGAAATGCCTGAAAACTGCATGGAGACTATTTAAGATCACCATAATAGCGGCTCAAACGAAATGTATACTCCAAATTAAAAAAAAAAACAAAACAAAAACACAGTAAGAGGACCAAAAAAAAAAAAAAAAAAAAAAGAAGCCACTGTGGCCAAATGGCAGGGTAAAAGATGCAGTTAGAGACAAAAAGACATCTTTTAAAAATTGGAAGTCAAATTCTAGTGAGGAAAATAGAAAGGAGCATAAACTCTGGCAAGTCAAGTGTATAAATATTATAAAGCAGGCAAAGAAAATTTGAAAAGCATCTGGGAAAAGACACAAAACCTAACAGCCAAAAATTTTTTAAAGTACATCAGAAGAAGGAAACTTGCCAAGCAATCAGTGGGGCCACTGGACAATTGAGGTGCTAAAGAAGCAGTCAAGGAAGACAAGGCTGTTGAGGAGAAACTGAATGAATTCTTTACATTGGTCTTCACTGCAGAGGATATAGGGGAGATATCTAAAAAGAATGGTTCATGTGTAGGTGACAAATCTGAGGCATCGACCCAGACTGAGATATCTGTCAGTAGAGGTGTTTTTGGAACAAACTAATAAATTAAACAGTAAGAAATCACCATGACCAGATGATAATCAGCCAAGAGTTCTAAAGAAACTCAAATACGAAATTGCAAAACTACTATGGTATGTAACCTATCACTTAAATCAACCTCTTTGCCAGAAGACTGGAGGATAGCTAATATCTAAAATAACACTGACTTTTAAAAAAAAGTTCAAGAGGCGATCCTGGCAATAATAGGTGACTAAGCCTAACCTCAGTAACAGGCAAATGGGTTGAAACTATGCAAAAAAAACCAACAAATTATCAGACATGTAGATAAACATATCGGAAAAGAGTCAGCAAGCCTTTTGTAAAAGGAAATCATGCCTCACCAATCTAATCAAGGAAATCATGCCTCACAACTCTTTGAGGGGATCAACAAACATGTGGACAAGGGTAAGCCTGTTGTTCTAGTATACTTGGACTTTCAGAAAGCCTTTGACAAGGTCCCTCATCAAAAGATCTTAAGCAAAGTACGCAGTTATAGGATAAGAGGGAAGGTCCTCTCATCGATCAGTAAATGGCTAAAAGACACGAAAGAAAGTGGTCAGTTTTCACAATGGAGAGAAGTAAATAACAGGGTCCTGCAAAGATTTTTACTGGGACCTGTATTGTTCAACGTATTCATAAATGAGCAGAAAAAGGGAGTGAAGAGTGAGGTGGCAAAATTTGCAGATGATACAAAAGTACTCAAGATAGTTAAGTGTGAAGCTTACTGTGAAGAGTTACAAAGAGATCTCACAAAACTTGGTAACTTGGCAACAAATGGCAGATGAAATCCAATGCTGATAAATGAGAAGTAATGCATACTGGAAAACATAATCCCAACTATACATACAAAATGATAGGGTCTAACTAGCTGTTACCACTCAAGACCGAGATCTTGGAGCCATTGTGGATAGTTCTCTATAAACATCTGCTCAACGTGCAGCAGCACTCAATAAAGCTAACAATGTTAGGAACCATTAGGAAAGGGATAAATAAGACTGAAAGTATTATGCCACTACATAAATCCATGGTACACCTATACCTTAAATACTGCATGCATGCAGTTGTGGTTGCCCCATCTCAAAAAAGATAAATTAGAATGGGGAAAAGTTCGGAGAAGAGCAAAAGAAAAAAAAATGATTAGGGGTATGGAACAGCTTCCATACGAGGAGAAATTAAAATGACAGACTACATCTTGGAAAACAGATGACTAAGGGGGGAGGATATGACAGAGGTCTAAAAAATCATGATTGGTACGGAGAAAGTAAATAAGGAAGTGTTATTTATCCCTTCACATAACACAAGAACTGGGGGGGGGGGGGGTCACCCAATGAAATTAACAGGCAGTAGGTTTGAAACAAAAAAAGGAAACTTTCTTCACACAACACACAGTCAACATGTTGAACTTGTTGCCATGGGATGTTCTAAAGGCTAAAAGTATAATTGGGTTTAAAAAAGAATTAGATAAGTTCATGGAGGATAGGTCCATCAATGGCTATTAGTCAAGACGGTCAGGGACACTACCTCATGCCCTGGGTGTCCCTTAACTGTCCAACTGACAGAAGCTGGGACTGGATGATGGGATGGATTATTCAATAATTGCCCTGTTCTGTACATTCACTGTGAGGCATCTGGCAGTAGTCACTGTCAGAGAAGGATACTGGGCTACACGGACCACTGGTTTGACCCAATGTGGCTGTCTGATGTCTTCTTCCCAAAATTATAAACTGTGTGAGGGAGAATCACTCTCCTCCCCACACAGCAACACACGCTTCTTTTTTAAGTTATTTACTTTTGTGGAGGAAGACTGAAAATTGTAACCTAAAAGTAAGAGGGTATATGATAGAACTGAGTAGACACAGAACACGATTAAAAATTTCCCCTCCTTTGACATTCCAACTTGTCTCTTTTTCCAGTATGAGACATCTGTCAACTAGTTGGGACCTAGAAATTCCTGACCCACAACTGTGTCTGTCTTAAACTAGCTTCAACTGCCTAAAAAAAGCCTAGACAGAGTTCTATAGTTATGAAACGAAGACATATTTGTCTTCTGAATCAGAATGAGATTCTACAGGTGCCAGTCTGTGGGAGCTAGCACAACATCTGCATTTTATTACTATGAAGCCATCATTTCTAATGAATACTGTCTTACTGGTCAATTTGTAAGGGAGCTAGATCAGCTGTTCTGTGTAATCAGTGGTGATAGGTATTTAAACTTCATAGATTATTCCCTCATTCTGACATTGATTCAGTTTTGCACAGACTTAATAAGTGGGCTCCTTCCTTTGTTGCAAAGGATTACTAAAAACTCACATGCTTTCATTAATATGCCAACAACCACATAAACAGAGTTTACATCTAATTTATTTCCACAAACATATTACATGAAAGCACTGGATTTTCAGTGATGTGCCCAAATGAAGTATTTCACTCATTCATAACGGTCAGAAGCTTGGAGTGTAGTTAAATATTCTGAAATGACACATTTTGCCAAGTTAGAACTGTATAGTTGTTTGTATCAGCTACTTTACTACATATAACAAACAAACAAACAAACAATCAATCAATTACCTCCACCCTAGGGAGATTCCAAAACAACATTTTTTCTTGTAACATTCAAAGACCTCTTGTTATGCAGCTGTAATAAGGTTGCTTTCTGATTACAGTTTTGTACCTGTTGAGATGCTGTAGCTGCCCTCTGTTCTGCCTGTGTTAGTCGCCTTTGAAGTCTGTTGACTTTTTCTTGATGCTCCATCATTAATTTTTCATTCTGTAAAAAAGTGAAAGATCTTTTTACAACTGTAAGTTTCATATATATTGCAGTGAGAAAACTTTGAGCAAATGGAGTTTGGTCAATGCCAAATATTGGAACTATTTACCACCTACAAGACAGGAAATTATATACGCTTGTGATTCCGAATAATTCCCAGGTTTCAGAGTAGTAGCCGTGTTAGTCTGTATCAGCAAAAAGAACGAGGAGTACTTGTGGCACCTTAGAGGTGCTGCTGCTAGCAGAAAGGAAATTATTGTATAAGAAATTTTCCATTCTTCAGCCTAGCATCTCTCACAATTATGATACACATGGGAAATAGCAAGCTGTGAGCAGGAGAAGTGAAAAGTGAACATAAGAAATAGGAAAGACACTCTTTCTGAACTGCTCAAATAGCCAGGTTATGTCTGGACCACTACCTGCAGCACCTTCCTGCCAACAGGGGAGCCGCTAACAGGGAGTTTCGAGAGGGAGTTCTCCAGGTGAAGGAGGAGTAAATACGGGACCGTTGGGGTAAGTGGCTGTCTGTAGTGTGTGTTTGTGTTTGGGGGTTAGGTGCTGAGCTTGTGTTTGTCTGTCTGTTTGTTTATTTGAAGGCCGGCAGTTGTGGCCGGCAGTTGAAAGCTGTGAGCTTCTAAACAAGGTTTGAAATCTAGAAGGCTCTGTTCGTTGGCTGAGCCTTAGTCAGGGGTGGGGCTATGAAGGATGCCAGGGCTTTATAAAGCAGTAAGCAAGAGACCAGGGGCCGCTAACAGGGAGTTTCGAGAGGGAGTTTGGAAGGGGAGTGGGAAGGGAGCAAGGTAGACTTGCCATTCTTTAAAACCTTTACACTAAACTATAATCAAAACTTCTTGATTTAAACAAAAACCCTATCATTAACCCAGGTAACTGTAGGAGAAAATGCAGGCAGAAGCCCAGCAGCAGAGTGAGGGCTATCCTGTTTATTGCACTCAGTGTAGCATATATGATTACTTGCCCTGTGGACGGGTGGCGTACGTGTGCATTCGGTGCAAGGAGCTCCTGGCTCTCAGAGACCATGTACAGGTTTTGGAGGCCAGGGTGGTGGAACTGGAGGAGCTAAGGAAGGCAGAGAGGTATGTTGATGAGGCTTTCCAGGACACTGTAGATTTGTCCCACCTCCGGTCAGACAGCCCCTGCACTGTTAAGGAGGATGAAAGGCCCAGAAAAGGAGAGCAGTCAACGGGAACAGAGGGAAACCTTCCCATAGTTGGGACCCTCCTTCCAGATGATGTTGGGGTATCCTCTCGCACTGAGGTTACCTCTCCGGGGGAGGGAACTCCAGTCATTAGGAAAAGGCAGGTGTTACTAATGGGAGATTCGATCATTAGAAACATAGATAGCTGGGTTTGTGATGACCGGGAGAACCGTATGGTGACTTGCCTGCCTGGTGCGAAGGTTGCGGATCTCTCGAAGCATCTAGATAGACTTATGTGTAGTGCTGGGGAGGAGCCGGTGGTCGTGGTACATGTAGGTACCAGTGACATAGGGAAGGGTAGGAGAGATGTCCTGGAGGCAAATTTAGGCTGCTAGGAAAGAGACTGAAATCCAGGACCTCTATGGTGGCATTCTCAGAAATGCTACCAGTTCCATGCGCAGGGCCACTTAGGCAGGCAGAGCTTCAGTCTCAATGTGTGGATGAGACGATGGTGTAGAGAGGAAGGGTTTCAATTTATTAGGAACTGGGGAAACTTTGGGGATAGGGGTATCCTATACAGGAAGGATGGGCTCCACCTAAACCAAAGTGGATCCAGATTGCTGGCACTTAACATTAAAAAGGTTGCAGAGCAGTTTTTAAACTAAGAGATGGGGGAAAGCCGATTGCTGCAGAGGAGCACGTCGATCGGACAGAGACTTCTCTTAGAGGAGAGTCTATTGATAGAGATTCTCTAGGTTTTAGTCAGGAGGAGGGGATGAAACAGGACAAAGTATGGGCCAGATCAGACGAGAAACACTCACATAAAGAATCTGACACATCAGAAAAGGGCAGAGAAATAAACAGTGACAAGTTTTTAAAGTGCTTGTACACAAATGCTAGAAGTCTAAATAATAAGATGGCTGAACTAGAGTCCCTCGTATTAAAGGAGGATATTGATAAAATAGGCATCAAAGAAACCTGGTGGAGTGAGGACAATCAATGGGACACAATCATTCTGGGGTACAAAATATATCGGAAGGACAGAACAGGTCGTGCGGGGGCGGGGGAGCACTATATGTGAAAGAAAATGTAGAATCAAATGAAATAAAAATCTTAAATGAATTCACATGTTCCATAGAATCTCTATGGATAGTAAGTCCATGCTCTAATAAGAATATAACAGTAGGGATCTATTATTGACCACCTGACCAGGACAGTGATAGTGACGATGAAACGCTAAGGGAGATTACGGAGGCTATCAAAATAAAAAACTCAATAATAGTGGGGGATTTCAATTATCCCCATATTGACTGGGTACATGTCACCTCAGGACGAAATGCAGAGACAAAATTTCTCGATACTTTAAATGACTGCTTCTTGGAGCAGCTGGTACAGGAACCCCCAAGGGGAGAGGCAACTCTTGATCTAGTCTTGAGTGAAGCGCAGGATCTGGTCCAAGAGGTAACTATAACAGGGCCGCTTGGAGATAGTGACCATAATATAATAACATCTAACATTCCTGTGATGGGAAGAACACCTTAACAGCCCAACACTGTGGCATTTAATTTCAGAAAGTGGAACTATGCAAAAATGAGGAGGTTAGTTAAACAGAAATTAAAAGGTACAGTGACTAGAGTGAAATCCCTACAAGCTGCATGGACACTTTTCAAAGACACCATAATAGAGGCTCAGCTTAAATTAAATTAAAAAACACAGTAAAAGAACTAAAAAAGAGCCACCGTGGCTTAACAACCATGTAAAGAAGCAGTGACAGATAAAAAGGCATCTTTTAAAAAGTGGAGGTTAAATCCTAGTGAGGTAAATAGAAAGGAACATAAACACTGCCAAATTAAATGGAAAAATGTAGTAAGAAAAGCAAAAAAGGAGTTTGAAGAACAGCTAGCTAAAAACTCAAAAGGTAATAACAAAATGTTTTTTAAGTACATCAGAAGCAGGAAGCCTGCTTAACAACCAGTGGGGCCGCTGGACAATCAAGATACAAAAGGAGCACTTGAAGATGATAAAGTCATTGCAGAGAAACTAAATGAATTCTTTGCTTCAGTCTTCACGGCTGAGGATGTTAGGGAGATTCCCAAACCTGAGCAGTCTTTTGTAGGTGACAAATCTGAGGAATTGTCACAGACTGAAGTGACACTAGAGGAGGCTTTGGAATTAACTGAGAAACTTAACAGTAACAAGCCACCGGGACCAGATGGCATTCACTCAAGAGTTGTGAAAGAACTCAAATGTGAAATTATGGAACTATTAACTATACTTTGTAACCTGTCCTTTAAATCAGCTACTGTACCCAATGACTGGAAGATAGCTAATGTAACGCCAATATTTAAAAAGGGCTCTAGAGTCTAACTTCAGTACCGGGCAAATTAGTTGAAACAATAGTAAAGAATAAAATTGTCAGACACACAAAAGAACATAAATTGTTGCGCAAAAGTCAGCATCGTTTCTGTAAAGGGAGATCATGTTTTACTAATCTATCAGAGTTCTTTGAAGGGGTCAAAAAACATGTGGACAATGGGGATCCAGTGGACATAGTGTACTTAGATTTCCAGAAAGCCTTTAACAAGGCCCCTCACCAAAGGCTCTTACGTAAATTAAGTTGTCACGGGAGAGGAAAGATCCTTTCATGGATTGAGAACTGGTTAAAAGACAGGGAGCAAAGGTAGGAATAAATGGTAAATTTTCAGAATGGAGAGGGGTATCTAGTGGTGTTCCCCAAGGGTCAGTCCTAGGACCAATCCTATTCAACCTATTCATACATAATCTGGAGAAAGGGGTAAACAGCGAGGTAGCAAAGTTTGCAGATGATACTAAACTGCTCAAAAAGAAAAGGAGTACTTATGGCACCTTATAGACTAACAAATTAATTTGCGCATAAGCTTTTGTGAGCTACAGCTCACTTCATCGGATGCATGCAGTGGAAAATACAGTGGGGAGATTTATATACACAGAGAACATGAAACAATGGGTGTTACCATACACACTGTAACCAGAGTGATCAGGTAAGGTGAGCTATTACCAGCAGGAGAGAAAAAAAAACTTTTTGTAGTGATAATCAAGGTGGGCCATTTCCAGCAGTTGACAAGAACATGTGAGGAACAGTAGGGGGGGAATTAAACATGGGGAAATAGTTTTACTTTGTGTAATGACACATCCATTCCCAGTCTTTATTCAAGCCTAAGTTAATGGTGTCCAGTTTGCAAATTAATTGCAATTCAGCAATCTCTCGTTGGAGTCTGTTTCTGAAGTTTTTCTGTTGAAGAATTGCCACTTTTAGGTCTGTAATCGAGTGACCAAAGAGATTGAAGGTGTTCTCCGACTGGTTTTTGAATGTTATAATTCTTGACGTCTGATTTGTGTCCATTTATTCTTTTACGTAGAGACTGTCCAGTTTGGCCAATGTACATGGCAGAGGGGCATTGCTGGCACATGATGGCATATATCACATTGGTAGATGTGCAGGTGAACGAGCCTCTGATAGTGTGATTAGGCCCTATGCTGGTGTCCCCTGAATAGATATGTGGACACAGTTGGCAACGGGCTTTGTTGCAAGGATAGGTTCCTGGGTTAGTGGTTCTGGTGTGAGGTTGCTGGTGAGTATTTGCTTCAGGTTGGGGGGCTGTCTGTGAGCAAGGACTGGCCTGTCTCCCAAGATCTGTGAGAGTGATGGGTCATCCTTCAGGATAGGTTGTAGATCCTTGATGATGCGCTGGAGAGGTTTTAGTTGGGGGCTGAAGGTGATGGCTAGTGGCATTCTGTTATTTTCTTTGTTGGGTTGTCCTGTAGTAGGTAACTTCTGGGTACTCTTCTGGATCTTTCAGTCTGT